TGCTGGATCTTGGCCCCCTCTTTTGGGGCTCCCCTCCCTCCTGCCCCAGCAAACACTTGAAGGGTACGGGCAGCACTCATGTTCCTCCGTCCCAGTCCCAGGGCGGGGGGTGGTGTGTGTGGGGGGCGCCGCAGCTCCAGACAGGAGCCTCTTTCCACCCTCAGTGGCCCAGGGCTCTGCGTTCGAGTCCTCTGCCAGGAGAGAGTTAAGGGCTTGGGTTTAATTTGCCCGTTAATCACAGTTAAAAGAAGTAATGAGCGTCTCCCCAAAGCCTGGGTGTTTCTCTGCAGATTAAGCTGCAATTTGCATAGCGCCTTGATTCATTCCCACCTTCCCCTGCGGCCGCGTGTCCTTTCAGACACAGCCAAGCGCAGCCTGCAGCGGAGCGCTGTGACAAATGGCTTTGCTGTGCGTGGTTTGGGCGAGGGGGAGGGAGGGGAGGGCTGGGAGGGAGAGGGCAGCTCCCGACAGTAATGGATAGCTGGGGCGTTAAATAGTGCAGAACTTTTTATTAGACACACAGGAGAAGTTTAAATATTCAAACTGGTTTTCTTTGAAGCCTGGGGAATGAGAGGAGGGTGGCAGGCAGGGTAAGTAAGAGTTTACTCATGGCCAAATTACTCGGAAAGGCCCTGCCCCTCACCTGAGAGGAAGGGCATCTGGAGGACACAGCCGATCTGCAGTCAGCTGGCACCTCGGGCTCCACAGCCCTGGAGCAGGCTTGACACCCTCCTGCTGGGCTCCGGGATCCGCCAGGCAGGACTCCAGCCCGGAAGCAGCTCCTGGGGCCTGGTAACTCAGGGTGCAGAACAGCTTGTGCAGAGCCAGGCATGTGGGCAGCCTTCCGGAAGCGGGAGCTAACCCAGCTTTGGTAGCAGACTCGGGTTTACAAAGCAATGGATCTCCAAGAGGATGGGATGACAGCCCTCTCCTCTCCTCTCCAGGAGAGCCCTTAACCAAACAGGGAAAGAGGAGAGATGAGGCCGAGAAGATGCTCCGGGCAGGCGCTCTCACTGGACCGCTGGTTGAGGGATTTTAGTCTGACCATTGGTCCATTCTGAAAGTCTGCTTAAACTCAATTTTCCTGCCAAAGTTCTAGTGCTTTGTAGGACTTCCTTTTTGCTAGTTTGTGAGCCGCACGATTGTCATATTTTAGAGGTCAAAGTTGCCTTGGAGATCATTAGGACAATTGAAGTTCAGAAAAGTTAAGTTTGAGTTTCCAAAGGGGACACAAAATGAGCAAGACCCAGTCCCTGGCCTTAAGCATCTCCATTTGGGGCGCTACATGGGGAAAGCCTTGTGATACAGTTGATAAGCGCTCGCCGAAGGGCATCTACACAAGGCCGGGAGGCTGCTGCGGAAGGAGGGGCTAACTCTGCCAGCAGACTGGAAACATCCAGAGAGAGGAGGTTGGGTCTCATCTGAGCTGGGTCAGGAAGCCTAGGAGGGGACCAAGAAGAGGGTTGGGGCTTTGGGAAGGCATGAGGGTTGGGGGTCTTGGGTGGATACCCAGGCTGGAAAGGCAGGTGGAGGTCTGAAGATCAAGGGCTGGCCTATTACACTAGCAATTTGTAGAGTTCAGGGGGCATCAGAGCTTCTAAACAGGGGAATGACCAGGGCAACAAAGCCCATAGCAACGTGGAAAAGGTGGATTAGAGGGGAGACAGCAGGAACTGGGGGCCTATGGATGGAACAGACGGAGATAGGAAGTATCAGAGAGGGATGAAGTGTGGGATGGGGAGGATGATGGTTTGGTTTGGGACATGTTGGAATATCTGGGAACCACGACCCAAACAGTTTCTACACTCACTTCAGGATGTTTCCAGTCCACCACCCTCTCACAACAGCTAACAGCTGAGTCTCACTGTGCCAGGCACCATCCAGGTGCTGTACACACTCCACAGCTACCTACCCTGGGGTAGGTAGTATCTTTGTCCTCATCTTACAGGTGAAGCAAATGAGGCACAGAGAGGGCCAGGGACTCCCCCCAGGATCACACAGGCAGCAAGAACAGAGACAGGATTTGACCCAGGCAGTCCAGCTCTGGAGAAGATGCTGATCACCACCCCACCGCTTTGCCTGTTGTCTAACTTATGACTGTTAGTAGATTTTGTACGGTTGTATATGGGAGTGGGGAGGGAAGGAGGAAAATAAAGAAGTGGCAATTAAAAGATGAAATGAAAATTAGTAACAGGACAGGAAGATGTGGATAAAAAGGCAGAGAAGAGCCACAGGACCTGTGTTTCTAGGGGAAAACTGTGTAAGCAACAGCTGGGGAATTAATGAGGGGGAGAGAAAGAAGGTGAGGCGCACATGAGGGAGCAGGATCCCACAGCCCCAGCCACAGTTAGCTCTTGTTCCTGAGGGCCTGGGATGTGCTTTTCTTTGGTCCTCAGCTCCTAGCCAGTTCTCTGGGGCAGGTGATTCTTTAGATGGAAGAGAAGATTTTCGGTGTGAATGATGTCCTGCACTGCCGATGGGAAAATAGTTCTAGATGTGTAGGACCCCACGTCTCCCTGGCAAGCCCTTTGTGGGCAGACAGAACCCAGATGAACCATTATCAGCCCTCCACTTAGCCTGCATTCGTGGGCAGCCATCACGGGCTGCAGCGCACGGGGATCCTACTTTTGTTGACTGTAAAGAGAGCCACACTTTGGGAGGACAGGGTACAGTCTGTGTAGGAAGAAAGGCTTCATCTGAACAGAGAGACGGTGAGTAGGGCTGGGCAGTGGCTGGATTTAGCAAGGTGAGAGGACTCTGGGAAGGTGTCTCTGCTTCCTTACCTGAAGCAGGGTGACTCGTCTGAGCTGAGTAGTGAGTCTTAAGTCTTCTCTGGAACGAGGTGGCATAAAAGTTAACATAAAAGCAGAGTATGCTCTTGGCAATACAATTCACATCAAACTAAGGATTCTGAGGGTGTGATCTTGGCCCATCTCCTCCCTCTCTCCTTGAACATTTCTTTCTTTTTGCAATCCTGGAAACCTGACTGCTCAGAACATGGTCTTCTAGCTCCAGAAGCAGCCTCTCACCTCTCCCTTCCAAGAAGGCAAGTTAGGCCAGGATGAAGAGGCCTCGACATTGTGTCACAAACTAAAAGTCAGAGCTCCCATTTGTCCAGTGAGTGCTTAGTAAGTGCCAGGCACAGTTCTGGGAACTCTGAGTGTATTAACTCATATAGTCCTCACAACCACCTCTGAGGCAATTCTGAGAGAAACGAGCAGGAATCTAAACACCATCAGAGTGAGGCCAAGGGAAATCAGGAGCAGATCTGAGTGGCCCTCCGGTGCAGTCACACAGCCAGGCAGGATCTTCAGGGTCTTCGGGTGTTCAGGAAAGTGAGACCCAGGAAGGAAGCACAGGGTCAAAGGCAAATGGGCCAAAGGTTCTGGAAAACAAACCCTATGTTATTGAGTTAAAGGCTTTTAAGAAACCATTTACATCAGCCTCGGGGTGGGGTGGGCCTTCATTTCACCAGATAAGCAGTGAAATGGGCCTAATCCCTCTGAGAGAAGAGTTCTCTAACCACACTGCTTACCAAGGTGGCCAAAATCTACTGAGAAAACCTTCTATCTAAACCCAGTTCCCTTCCTGCAAAGATGGCTGAACCTCAGCCATGCGACTTCCTCCCATCAACTTCCTCGATCAGCTCCAGGCCGGCAGAGAGGGCAGGCAAGGTGTGCCTGTGCAAGGGCAGGGCAAGAGCTTTGAGGCCCCAACCCAGCCTGCCACGGTCACATGATCCACAGGGCCTCTCCCTAAAGCTCGGTGCCTGTAAGCAATAGAGGCTGTGTACCACCTGGTGATCGGAGGAGGGACGTTAGTGCGGGTAGGGGTAGCATGCCTCAGTGAGCCGATGGCTGCTGCAAGAGGCAGACCAGAAGGCCAAGGGAGCCAGCGCTGAACAGGTGGGGCCGGAGGTAGCAGACATTCTCTCAGGGCGAAAGGGAAAGGGACCAAGAGATGCAAACGGCTCCCCAGGCTGAGAGCCTCCACAGTGGCCAAGGGCAGGATGGTGCCCACTCAGGCCTCTCTAGGCCTTTATATTCCAAGGACAGTTTTACCTCAACATTCCACACCAATATGTTTCCTTTTTCAATTCCTAGACTTATTTCAGCCCCCAATCTCCCCAAAAGGAAGTGAACAGGCAAAGATTGGGGGGAAGCGATGGGCTGACATTAATTGATAGGAGCGGCTTCGAGCAGTTCATGCTGCCTTATCTCTCTCTCCTTTGGATAGCGTGTGTCCGCCGGAGTCCGCGGGGTCGGTGATTAATAGGGGCCATCACTCACTGTCCAGGACGGCTGAAAGGCAACAGGGAGGGGGCGGCCCTCCCCAGAACTGAGATAACAAGCAGCAGGAATAATGAGTGGTGTCACTCCACTTTTCATTTTGATGGAAAGTCATTACGGGAGTCAACGCCAGCGACAAAGAGCCATGAATCAACTGCTCTGCTATGAAATTAAAATCGAATTGCTGGCCACCCCCAACCCCTACCCTTCCTGGGAAGTGGGGATGGGTAGGCAGCTTGGGAGAGGGGTGTTATCCTGGGGTGGGCTCTGCCCAATCACAGAGCAGGCAGTTACGGGCAGGAAGTGGACAGGCAGCTAGTGAAGGTGACAACTCCTGTCCCCACCTTGTTTATCAGACTCTTCCTCCCCAAACCGCATTTTCCCTCTGCCTGGAGGTAAGCTTTGATTAAAAGGAAAATACAGCTTTGCTGGCCCCAACGGGCTGCCACTTGCATGCTCCCCTTGGTCTTCTGGCCTGAGTGGGGCAGTCCAGGCCTGGCTACAGAAAGAAAGCTGGACTCAGCTATCCCAGAGCCCCTTGCTGAACCAGTTGTAGACACTAATCTGAGGTCCTCCCTGTCACCAGAAGCAAAGAGGAAAAGCCCCTAATGTGGGGCTCCAAGGGAACAGCCAATGGCCCGGCAGCCCACTGGGATCATAACCCCATGCAAACAGTGCACAGCCTCAACTCCAGGGCAGAAGCAGTAACTGTAAGGGTGAAGCAAGAGTCTCTTCTTTTATTAAGTCCAAATAGATAACAAGAAGGAGCAGAAGCTGTGGTTTCAAGGCTGATGGGCCACAGGGCCAATCCAGACAGCTTCTTGTAGAGAGTACAAAGTGCCAAGGTCACCATCTGGTGATGGCTCCATCACATGGCTTTCTGTCCTCCTGTAGGCCTGGTCTCTTGCTGGGAAGGGCCCTGCAACGTTAGTCCTGGCTGTCCCCCACATCTTGAAGGCTGAGAAGATGGGCAGGAAGAACGTGGAGAGCGTCAGAGAGAGGTTCCCATCAAGTTCACGGGACGCCCGTTGTACCTCTTGGAAATGTCAGCCTCGATCTGAAAGACAGCGATCCCACGTGGGCAGGAAGCGGAGAGGCAAAGGGCCTTGTTCTGCAGAACCGGGGTCCTCCCACTTGGCAGGTTTGCCTTCCCCGTCTTACCAGCTTCTGCAGCTCCTTGGTCTTTTCTAGCAGCAGGTCCAGCTTGGGCTCCAGAGCTGCCTGCTCCTGCAGTGCTTCCTGCTGCTTCTGCACCATCAGTTCTTTCTTCAAAGCCAGTAGCTGGGACTGCTTCAGCTTTTGCTGGAGGAACTCAGTCACTCGGTCCACATACCTGTGCAGGGTACTCAGGTGAGTGTCTGCTGTAGCTGTGCGACCTGACCATCCCCATTCAGCTCCTGGGAAAGGGGAGGCTCAGGAAACCAAACCCCTAACTGCCCTCTCAGCCTCCACATCCTTCAACCCTTCTTGGTAAGGGATACCGCTCCTAGTTCCCCTGTCCTCCCTGGGAAGCAGATTCTGCCTGCACACATCAAACCACCCCATCTTGCCCCAAAGAGAACCCGTATCCCTAGTTCGGATGACACACCTGTGGGAGGCAGGGATGGGAGTCTAAGGGGTCATGGAAAAAGAGGACGAATACCAGGAGTCACGGCTGCTCAAGATGGTGGAGCCTTGCATTATGCCCCCAAACAGCCCAATGTCAAGGAGAAAGCCAGACCTTGGGGAGGCCAGGATCATAAACAAGTGCTGCATTCGAAGATTGGTGAGCCGGCCAATCAGATCCTGCAGCGCCGACACCATGGTAACCATCTTTGCTTTGGTCTGGCCCTGCAGGATGGCTGGAGCCAGCTGGAACTGGCTCACAGACAGGATGTCGGCCTCCTCACTCATCTCCACTGCTCTCTGGGACAAGAAGATCTCGAGCTGATGACAGAAGAGGATTTGGTTCAAACCGAGAAAAGCAGAGTGCTCCAAATGAAGAATGAGATGTGAGGGTCCAACTTGGGGTGAGGAGGGGTTATTTCCTCTGAACACTTTCAGTGCTAGAAACTCACCAACTACAACACAAGAGCTTGGGGCAGCCTCCACTATCACTCTTCGGTCCCCCATTGCTATCTCAAGCTTCACCTAGCCCTGGACTCCCCTCCTTCCTGCAGACGACTAAGAACATAGAGGGTTCTCTCTGCCCCAGTGAAGGTACTTTCCCTCCCTGGGAGGAATGCGATTCAGGCAATAGGAATTCAGGTTTGAGAAGCCTTGGATCAAGAAAGGGTAGGAAGGATCTGAGAACCAGCCACATAGCTTGTGACTCATTTGACCACAGAAACTTGATCCCTTTTGTCCTCCTCTCCCCTGGAGGCTGGGAGGGACCTCTGGGCAGAAAGAGAAGGGAACTGGTGAGGACTGAGCACTGTCATGAGGCCCGCCCCAATCAGGAGGCCACTGAGAAGGGAACAGACCTAGAAATTAACAAGGACAGGCCCCCAGCTTCCCAGTCCCACAAGGAAGGTCTAAGAACACTGGCTCCTTAATGGGGGCTGCTGGGCACCTTAGCCACAGGGATGGTGTTCAAACACAGATGAGATCATGTCGATCCAGACCAGCTCACAACCTCCAAGAGCGCCCCAGTTCACTCAGAGTAAAAGCCAAAGTTCAGCCTCTTCACCTCTCTGAGCTCCTCTATTCTCCCAGCTCGCTGGCTCAGCCGCACCGGCCTCCTTGCTGTTCCTCCATCGTGCAGGGATCCAACACTCCTGCCTTGGGGTTGCTCCCTCTGCCTGCAAAGCTCCTCCGCCAGACGCCTGGCATGGCGCTCTCTGCACCTCTTGCAGGTCTTGACTTACCGATCACCTTCCCAAGGAGGCCTATCCTTGACCACCTGATATAAAACCTCAGCCCTTCCCAGCAACCCCCCTCTCCCTCCCTGGCTTTCTTTTTCTCCGTGGCACTTGTGTTAACACCCAACACAGTGCATGTTTTACTTATTTGTCTTGTCTCGTCTGCCTGCCTCCTGAGAATATGGGCCCCACGAGATCAAGGCCTTGGACTGTCTTGTTCAGTCTCACTCAATCTCTGGGGCTTCACACAGTGCAGGGCTTAGGAGCTGAGTGATAAATCCTTGTTGAATGAATGCGGGGCATCCTAACACGTGAGCCCCACTCCGGAATGAGGAAAGTGCTCAGTGCCCTTCACACAACAGGAAGGGTCAGGTCAGGTGTCTGTGCTGGTGCCAGGCCACCCCCACCTCTCCCTGGGGATGAAAGTACCTCCATGAGCTCGTCGATGAACTGATTCCGGGTCTCAGGGTATTCAAGAAGTGTCAAGGCATCTGGGCCCCTAGCAACACCTTCCGGAGCTGCCAGGAAGGAAGACGGAGAAGTGATAAAGGAGTTGAGGACCGGAGAAGACCCTCCAGTTTGAGAAACCCTGGTGGGTTAATATGGACACAGACACAGTACACTGAAGCCACTTCCTGTCCCAACCCAAGGGGGAAGGGTTACCAAACCCCAGTCTGCGAGGAGGACCACAGGCTGGGATTCGAGGCCCCGCAAGGTGGGCCCGGGCTCTGGTGGGCTGTGGAGGTGAAGTTTCATCCTGCACCGCCCTCTAGTGGCTCAGATTGCTGCTACATCCTCTCTGGGGGTGGGGAGGGGCACCAGGTCAGGCTTCAGAGCCTATGGCCCTCCTGGAACAAACACCCTCCACCCCGTCAGCCCCTACCCCCCAAAACTGACCCACATTTGGTATCCAAAAAGTTGAGAGTTTCTGGACTTAACTTTAAGAACTCTCTCTGTCCCCCTGCACTCACATCCTCATCAAGATTTTGAAAAAACAGTTAAATGTGTAACAAGTCCAATCTCAGCAGTGCATTTTTTCTTTGTTTCTAGAACAGGGGAGCCTTTGAGCACCCTGCTGCTGCCAGGGCTGCCGGGGACAGTCACTTACCCTGGGTTCCAGCTTCCAGCACTGTGATCTGCGAAGCGGCTGCATCGTCTCCCCAGTCTATCCCATCTGCCGCAGCTTCCTGGGTGGAGAGCAAAGAACCCCAGCAGAGTCGGCAGAATTGTCCCGAGCAAGGGGAGGCGGGATGAACCAAAGCCCTTGCTAAGTTCCATGACTGCGTCTTTCAACTGTAGGAGGACGTGCAGCCCTGATGTAAGCAGCAAAGGTGGCAGTGTGGGCCCATGTGTGCTGCCACCCTCACCCCGCTTTGCAGAATTACCACTTGCCCAGACCCTCACACCTTGCCCCAAACACCAGGAGAAAAGGGGTCCAACTGTGCCGTGTCCCTTTGGGAACTCTGCCTCCCCTGGACTCCACCTGCTCTGAGAGCTGTGAACTTCGGGCGATGCTTTCAGCACAGCACTTTTCTTATTGCTGAAGCAGCGATTGCAGGAAGTCCTCGGATGGACCGAGAGGGCATCCTAACCTGTGAGTCCGACTCCAGGGAGACGCCCCAGTCAATTCCGGCAGGCTGAGCAGAGATGCTGGCATCTGCCCCTTCAGAAGCCATCTCCACTCCAAAGTCGCCCCAGTCAATCTAGAAGGGGAAAAAATGTTAGCTCACAGAAGGTGGGGAAAATAGGCGCTTGCCTTTGCATAGGCCTCAGGGGCTTCAGTGCTGGGAGTGCCAGTGAGCTGTTCAAGTCGGTGGCCTCCAAACTCCCTTAAGGACAGCCCAGCTCCAGAGAGCTCGTGGCACTGACGGGCTCCTAGTTCAAAGCCACCAGCTTGCTGAGCCTCTTTGGCACTCATCTCCACTCTGGTCTCATGAAGACCAGAAAAATAAAGGAGTAGGGCCTTCCAGGCCCTTCCACGGATAGTCTCTCCCACAGGAATCCCCCTTTCTTCCTCTGAGACTCTGAATTCCGGCTGTGGGCGTTTGGACGGGGTGTGGGGGGGAGCAGCTCCCACTCGGCCTGTCTTACCGCGTCCTCTTCCACTTGCTCAGGAGGCTCCTCGAGGTGCGGCCGCTCCACCACGGAGGGCTCCGTGCCCGTCCTCCACTCATACACGGTGCAGTTTCCCCGCTTCTGTACGTACCGCAGCATAGGCAACACCTGCTCTGTGGGGCTGCAACGGAGCACATACCTGACCCTCCTGCTGCCCACTCCTGAAGCCACACTAGGCTCCAGCCCGGGCCAGAAGGTCCAACGGGCAAGGTTCCCACGGGTTAAGTGTATCAACTAAAACTTAAATGTCATCTGGGAAAAATACAAGTGGAGAAGAGAGAACAGCCAGGGAAATGGGTAAACTGCCCCCCTGCTAGAGAGAAACTGAAGTCCTCTTTACCTTTCACACACAAACCCCACACAGGCCTGGTACAGGTCAATAGCTTCCCCCAGGGACTGAGCCCCCGCCCCAATCTCAGCCAGCTGACTCGGCAGGTCCTTCACCAGGGCCAGCAGCTCTCTCCGGACATTGTCTCCCTAGAAAGGATCGAAGAGGTGGGCTAAAGCTGAAGTGAAGTGGTGGGAAGTGGAGTCCGACAGGTTAAAGGACTGGAGATGGGTGAGAAACTGGCCCAAGAAGGCCACAGCCAGGCTGGGAAGGAAGCCTTTCCCACAAGCAAAGGAGCTGGGCCTGGGAAGACAGGCAGAGGCCCCAGGCACCCTCCCACTGCAGCCAGACCCGTCCCGCTCACCGTGATGCCGTACTGCTTGCACGAGTGGTAGAACTGCTCCCGCATCTCGGCAGCCCCTGCCTGGCCCTCCTCCTCCTTGCGGCTATATTCTTGCTGCTGCTGCTGGCACTTGGCAATCTGCTTCTTCAGCGAGGGGATCTCATAGTTGACATTCCGAACCAGGAGGCTAGAGAGTTCCACTGAGAAGGGCCCAGGAAATTCACCCCAGACACCCACACCATAAGGCAAGCATGCCCCAGGACATGCACAAACACACCCCAGCCTGGTGGTGAGGAGCATGGGCTGGCTCCCAGCTCCTCCCCTTCCTAGCCGTGACACCTAAGACAGTCACTTAACCTCTTTAACCCAATCCTCCTCTGTAAGACAGGGCCAACAATAGTTATTGTGAGGATTAAAAGAGAGAATCCATATAAAACACAAGGACAATTCCTTGCATTTAGTAGGTGCTCGATAAATAATAGCTATTATTATAATTTACATTATTAGAAAACACACCCAAACTATAATCAGCCCTTTAGCTACTTTCTCAGGCAGCTGATAGGCCTCCAAGGCTCTTCTGCCTCTTCTAGAACGGAGGTGCAGAGGGGGTGGGGGCCCCTCACTCCACCTTACCAAGAGCTCAGCATTGGAGGCCCCTCACACACCTGCTGGGTCAGGCCTGGCCAATGCCCACCACCTGCGTGGCTCTCCTGCTCCTCCCAACTCCACTCATGGAATTTATTCTCCCACCTGGCAAACAGCTACAGCCCAGCCTCTTGCCGTGCATGCACTGTGCTCTCTAGAAGCCTAGTGTCTCAGAACTCTGGGAGGGGGCTTCCCCACGGACGCAGGGACTCCCAGGCTGGGCCACTTTACCTAAGTAGGTGTTGTCCTTCTCATACAGCGCTACGATCTCCTGCCAATCCTGAGTAAGAACAGAAACAGGAAGTGAGCCAGACCAGCACTCAGTGGCCACATCCCAGCTCAACCCCTGAACAGCGGAAGCACTCCCAGTCTTCTCAACACATCAGAAACACACTCCTTGTCCTCCTGCGTAACACTGGCTGGACCATCCATTTTATTGTAAGACTGCGGCGCCAATGAGCGATCCCCAAAGCAGTGGGTCTGAAAATGTGAACCCAGGGGTAGGAGCTACTTTGGACATAAACTACGGGGATGGAGGGAAAGTTCAGGAAATGTTCTGTGTAGCGTCTCCACCAGATTCTCAGCGAGACCAGAGAGGCTCTGACCCCATTACCACCCTTGCCCACACTTGCCTTCATTCGCTGTGAAGAGTACCGGCCAAAAATATTTTTTGTGGAGGCTTCGGTACCTTTGAGAAGGTCCACGATTCTTAGGCAGTGGAAGTAGTGAATGTCTGGAAAGCAAGTAAGAGCAAAGACTTTTAGAATTCCAGCGTCTTCCCCACCTACGCTGGCCTCTGCACAGGGCTGACTCGTGTATATGTCAGTATTTTTAGCACACACAGCTCTCCCCTTCACCAGTATGAGGAAGAAACCAGCAATCTATACGCCAACCAAAAATCTCTTTCTCCAGGGATCAGCCCTAAGGCTAAACGCCAGGGGAGCAGCCCAGCTGATATATACTTCTCCAGGAAAGAGGGGGCTCCGGTAATATAGCCCTAAAGCACTCACAGGATCCAGAGAGCAGCTGGGCGATCTCTTCGCTCTCTGGCATGTCCTGGATGGCAGCGTTGATCTTCTCTCGGATCGTCAACACCAGACTCTGCCATTTCAGGTTGCAGTGCCTTCTGTCCACCAGCCAGTCTACGTGAGAAACACCCAAATCAAGCATTCCTATTCATGCAGCCCCAAATCCTTCACTAATTCAAGAGAAATACACTAAGACACTGGCTAAAAGTTGTATTCATACTGGTTACGGGGGGGTCATGGGAAGATGCGAATAAAGACAGGCCCAAAGAGACACTTGGGGCAAAACAGACTCCAGCAGCCTGACTTCATCCGAGCGTGACTTTTATGGAGCAACTGCCTCGACACAGGGATAAAGAAAAACTTCAAATTGCTCCCGACATCAAAGTGCCACTTTTGACCACTCTAAATTCTCCATAATATTTTTGCTTCCATGGGTAATTATATCTTTCTTACTGACAAAGGATGATGTTCAACTTCCACTTCCTCAGGGCTGGGATTAACCATGACAATGGAAAATACAAGATGGTTATGCCAAGTACCGGATGAATGAAAACTGCAAAGCCCCTAATCCCCCCAGCGTCCTAAGGACGAGATAACACTGGTCTGTTCTTAGCAGTGAGGTACCACCCTGCACATGTGAATACCGATGTGACTGACCTCCTGGAGTCAGGGCCCAGATTTGTGTTTTCAGAGGGTATGGGTGGATGAGAGCCATGCAGGTTTCCTCAGTAGGAGAGAGCTAAGAGCTAGGCTCTGTGGTCAGACGGTCCTGGCTTCTAATTATTAACTTTCTTGAGCAGGTTTCTCAACCACTTTGTGCCTCAGTTTCCCCACATGTAAAATGGGGATGATAAGATACTGAATATAAGGGAGAATGCAGGTAAAACAACAAGCACTGTGACTGGCACATGGCAAAGACTCCATAAATCTTAGTGATCTTCATCTTTACAATGTCAAGTGCCTGGAACAACATCTGGTCTGCAGCAAACCCCCAATGAGTGGTTGCTGTTTTATTGGACCTTTTCATCATCAATGACAGACTCACACACCAAGACTGCCCATGTGCTGAAGAGCTGGGACAAATCTGAAACGAAGTTAAAGAAGCTTGGCTGAGTGGCCACTGCACAGGACTGACGAAATGGCCCACAGTGGTGAATTCAGAACCTTGCCCTTGTTAATAAATCTGCCAACTGGTCAAATGCTGGGTTCCCACACGAGTTATCAGTTATACTCCTTCTGCTGTATTTGTCTAAAATTTTCTCAAAGAACAATTTTGTAGATGTCACAGAACTTGAAGTGAAAGGCTCAGGCAGTCAAACTGACACCACCTTGACGACAAAACTGGCATCAAATCGACTGATCCAATGAGCATTTAAAAATCCAGGAGCTGTGTACTTGCCCTGGAGGGGTCAGAACGAAGTCCTTCCCTGGCTCTGAACTGGGGAGGAGGTACGTGGATCAGATACAGACAGCAGGAGATGGCCTGGCCACTAAAGGTCTTTATTTTCTACTGGGTCTGTGTCCCTCTTCCTCCTAACATCCAGGAGTGACGGAAGCTTTTAAAAAGAAAGGACGCAAAGTCTTTTCTGGCATAGTACAAAAAGCACAGACACTGCAGCCTGACAGACTTAAGTTCCAATTTCAGATCTGCCACTCAGTAGCTGACTCTTTAAGGTAGGCCATTACCCTCCCTGTGCCTGAATGATATGATTTGACAACACGTCGTACATGTTAAAGGAGAAAATGCAGGTCAAGTATAGACTCTATGTGTGGTACCTTCCTGCTCCTCTTAGCGAGGCAGGTGCAGTCACAGATGAGGGCATAGAACATGGCAAGTGGTCAGTGCCTCAACAGGGGCCTTGGGACTCCCAGCTGTTGGGGACAGGGGGGCAAAGAGCCGGGATCCCCCCCGACAGCCGGCTGCGCGGGGGCGCCCCCTCCTACCGAGCAGCTTGCTGGTCTGGATGTCGATGGGCACGTGCTGATGGTCCTGGCGGGAAACACGGCGGGGAGAGGGGCGTGAGCGCGGGAAGGCGACGTGCCACTCGCGCGCTCATTTCACAGACCCAACCGCCACCCTGCAGGGCCAGAACCCCGCGCCCGGGAGGGAAGCCGGAGAAGCAGGTCGGGGACGGACGGGCTGAACCCAGTTCATGGATCCCGGGCCAGCACCCCAAGCCCCCAGGTCCTGCGCCCCCACCTCCATCTTTCCTCCACTTCCGCTTCCGGCCAGAGACCCAGGCCAGCCCCGCCTGCCACCAATCCGGCTCGGGCGAGGCTCAGCCTCAGTGTAGTCGCAAACGGGCCTCCTCCGGCCACGTCGCCGCCTTCCGCAGAGCCAATCCGCGCGCGCGCTCCGCCCCTGGCCTCAAGCCCCACCCACCCCGGGGCTCCGAATGGCTGAGCCCGGGAGGGGCGGGAGAACAGGAGACAGCCAATGGGAGACGCGAGGCGGGCTCAGGGTCGGAGAGGGGCGGGGGCGCCAGGAAGAGGCTGCAGCTGCGGCGCGATCCCGACAGGCGGCGCCCAAGAGCCGGTCCCGGCCGATTCCGGCCTGGAGGGCGCAGAGCGCTCGGCGCACGGATTAACGCGTCTGCAGGCAAGGTCCTAGCGCCGAGCTGGGCGACGCAGAGGCGGTTAGAGGTGCCTTCTTCCAGCCTTGTCTCGCTTGACCGTCTATCGTAGTTTGTAGGTCTCTTGTGGCGCTTGTCACACTTTGCTTTCCCATTCAGTGTGTCTAATAGACATGTGTTGAGCACCTGCTACGTGTTGGTGATTGGGGCAGGGAAGGGGAGGAAGGAGGGCCAAGGGAGGCGTCCCGGAGCTAACACCTATGTTGAGCCTTAAAGGAAGATCTGCAGGAAAACGGGTGATGTGCGGAGGGGTGTTCTGGGTGGGGGAGACTGTACGGACAAGGCTTTGGAGGCCACGAGCCGCAAGAAGGGCAGTGGGTACAACAGGCAGGCAGGACTGGCAACATAACTGATGGAGTCCAGTGCAAAATGAAAATGCAGGGCCCTTGTTTAAAAATCGGAAGAATTTCAAGAGGGCGCTACGTAGGTCTCGCAGTCATGTCGCCTACACTGCAGGCAGGCAGCCACTGTGCAGTAGATGATTTGAGGCAGGTAGTGACCAGAGAAGAGACTGTAAAGGTGGAAGGGTTTTATCATAGGGAGCCTTAATTAGAAACTTGGACTGCAACCCTGCAGACAGAGAGGAACCGCTGGAGGGTTCAAAAAGTTTGAGGCAGGGAGGGACCTGAACAGATTGGTTGCAAGGATGGAGATCCTTGCAGATCTGGGAGATAAGACTGGAGGCAGAGAGACTGTCAGGAGGTTATTATGTAGCAGTTAGGGCCTGAACCGGGACAGAGGTGTGAGGAGGAGGGGAAGGGCTGGGTTTGAGAGACGTTTTGGAGGAAAATGGACAGGACTAGGTAGTCGATTGGCTGTGTGGATGGGAGAGAGAGGCAGCAAGGATGACACCTAGGTGGTTGGATGGGCATGCCACCACCTAAGACAGGGATGCAGGATGCTGAGCAGGTGTTGGGGAGGAGGGGATCTCAGCTTTGAACTTGTGGGCTGAGGACAGATCCCCAGGGATCTCACAGGGCTGGATGTGCCATTTTGCGCCCCTCCCCTTCCAGGTTGTTAGCTGCTCTGGGAGGCTCTGCCTAGTTCTTTCTAAATGACCCCTCCACCTCCCAGTGTGACCGCCCAAGTGAAGCATTTGGGGCTCAGTAAATTTTTTATTGAACTGCGTGGTGTGACACTGCAGTGAGAAGACTAGATTCCTGCCCGATGAGATCTTGGTCCATTTCTGTAACCTCTCTTCCAGTGGCAGTTTCTTCCACATGGAGATAGCACCTATCCTATCTCTAGGTATTTCTGTTTATAGGCTTAAGTAAATAAACATACTAGACGTGTATAACTCCTTATAGTTTACAACATGCTTTAATATACGGTCCTGTGCCACATAATGACATTTCGGGAACAATGAACTGCATATATGACAGTTGTTCCATAAGATTAGTGCCATACAGCCTAGGTGTGCAGTAGGCTGTACCATCTAGGTTGTATAAGTGCACTCTATGATGTTCACACAATGATGAAATCGCCAAACAACACATTTCTTAGAATGTATCCCCGTGGTTACATGACGCATGACTGTATTTTCTCAGGCTTTGCAAACTGTGTGTGTGTGTGTGTGTGAAATGTTAATCATTATGACTGTAGAATGGATTGAAAGACTTCCCTGAAAGTGGCTCATAGGGCAGAACTAAGGAGCTCTTCAGGGCTCTCTCCTGGGAATTTGGCTCCCATCTCAGAGTCCTGACTCAGGCTGTAGGATTGCTGGGGCTCCCCCATGATTAAACAAACACTTGCTGGGCTCCAACTATGTGCTCCTGGCTCCCTGGGACATCCCAAGAAGCATGACCCTGCCCCACCCTCCAGGTGCCTCTCTCCTCCTTGAACCAACTGGCAGGGCAGAGCAGGGCAGGGTGAGTCTGCAAGGCCCAGCCCCGGTGAGTTGGTGGAGGCAGAGACCATTGGCACTTCACCCCACCCGCAGCTCCGGGGTGACTCATGTGGAACTGAAGGATGTTTGAGAACAGTTCTGCCTAGCTGCTGGCCTCAGGGTGGCTGTCCCAGACAGCATAGGAGTGTGGGCTTTGGGCAGTGTTGTGTACTGTTTGTCCTTTTCCAAAGCCACAGAGAACCTCTGGGCCTATGGGCAGATAAGCACACAAGTGATCTGGTATCCAGGGCTTTGAGGTCCTTGGGGGTCCCAACATCTGGAAACTGGCAGGGAGAGGATGTGGGATGCTTCTGACTGTGACTCTCTCAATTGTCTGCTGATTTAGCAGGTAGGACATGTCTGGGGGAGGGGCAGCACATGTAGCAAGGTGGGGAAGGACAGCAGGCCTGTGCCAGCTTTGAACAGGAAAGCCCAGAGCCCCAGGGTGCTATGTACACGGGCTGCCTTGCCATCCTTTGTTGTTGTTAGCTTGCTTATTAAGTGATAACCCTGTGCTGCGTGCCAGCATAGATCTAAATGTTTTACGAGGCTTATCTAATTTGATCCTTCCAACAACCTTAAAATGTGGGTACTATTATTAGCCAGATTTTAAAGGCAAGGGAGCCACAGCTTAGATAGTTAAGAAACTTGGCCAAGATCATACATCTGGTGGTTGGTGGGGTTGGGATTCAAACCCAGGCGTGTCTGGCTCCCCAGCCTGCATTCTTGTTCTCTGTGGGATGCGGCTTCTCCTGCAGCCCTCCCTGCCCCATTCACGCAGCCTCAGGCCTCTTCCTCCCTCCCCTGTGGCCTGATTCCCACTTTCTCCCTAGTTATTGACCCAGACACCTAGCACCCCAGCCCTGCAGACCCTGCCCCTTTCCAAAGTTCTTTGTTACCACACCCCATTCTGGGCAAGAACGTCCATCACTTATCTTCTTGCAATATTCATAAAAAGAACGCTTACCTTTGACATTCAGGTAATCTATTTCTTTTATCCACCAAATGTTTATTACTTTATGGTCCATGTGTCTTCTGTGTGTTTGCTCACAGCCACGCTGACTGTAGTGTGTGTGTGTGTGTGTGTGCCTGTGTGGGTGTATACCTGCCTGTTGGGCTGAAAGCCCTGGAAACTCAGCAGCCTCAGCTGGGCCCCCTGCTGTTTGGAGTGTAATCTCTGTATAGTTTTTTTCAGTCTGTCTTTCCAACTAGTCTGTGAACACCTGGTGGGCAGGGAGTCTAGGCTTGTTCATCTCTGCAACCCCAGCACCTGGCATGACACCTGACATTGAGCATCAGGTGCTTAACAGATGCTAGTAAAGGAAGGAATAAGAGAAAATGCGACACGTACAGGAAGGCATTTTTGATGAGTGGGGACCACGATCACTTGGTCTTGGGGGAGAGATGTGCGTCCCCCAGCTCCTTTTCTCATCCCTCCCTCTGTAGCTCGGCACTTGGAATCAAGCCCCGTGAGCCGTTTGGGACGGGAGGGAGGACAGCAGGGAGAAGACATCAGGGCTGGTTGGCTTCACGAGTTAAGCACAGACCAAAGGAGGCATATGTGGGGCCAGTCAGCTGGGTTGTGCTCCAGGGCCATGGATTGTACCCTAAACCCTGGCCAGCCATGCCCTCACCACCTTTGTTAGTCTTCTGGGGGAAAGCAACTCACTGGTTGGCCTCATGAGTTGGGTCCCAGGTGTCATCTCCTAAGAATGTCACTGCATTTCATCATTTCATCATCTCACCATGGCAGGAAGAGAGAATGTGCTCTTCTAAGGGAAGGAAAACCAAGCCCTCTACCAAACCACCCATCTATCAACCTCCTTTCCCTGTGATTCAGTGTGAGCTACCCTCTATTTGCCAAGGTGCTGGGGACCTTAACACAAAGACAGTCCCATCCCTCAAAAAAAGTGACAGTATGTGCCAGCCCCGTGGCTGAGTGGTTAAGTTCGCGCGTTCCGCCACAGCAGCCCAGTGTTTCACCAGTTCGAATCCTGGGCACGGACATGGCACCGCTCATCAAACCATGCTGAGGCAGCGTCCCACATGCCATAACTGGAAGGACCCACAACTAAGAATATACAATTATGTACTGGGGGGCTTTGGAGAGAAAAAGGAAAAAAATAAAATCTTAAAAAAAAAAAGAAAGTGACAGTATGGTGTATGAAGGGCCCACCACACTCTAAATGCCATGACAGCATGCCCAGAGCCTAGCACTGCACTCATGCATAGTCAGTGCTCAAAAAACATCCACAAGAACCAAATAAAAGGTATGCTCAGAGCGCTAAGGGAGCAGAGAGAAGGACTATCCAACTCAACTCGGTGATAAAGGCATGGGATAGGCACGGAAAACCATCAGAGCAGGCTCCTGGGAAGAGTAACACTTGCGCTGAACCTTGCAGGATGGGAGTGAATTGTGGCAGAAGGGAGAGGAAGAGGAGGCGAGCAGAAGTGCTGGGTGTCACTCTAGGAAGAGGGAAAAACATGGATAAAGCACAGAGGTAAGAGAGAGTGTGGCTGTTCCAGAAGAAGTTTGTTATGGGAGCAGGGGATGTCTACTGAGAGAGTGGAGAGAAATTAGGTTGAGGAGATTGGCCAGGGGAGATCATGAAGAACCCTCAGGTCTGTGACAAAGGGTTGAAATTTAATCCTGCAGACCAGGGTTCCCAACCAGTGGGCAGCAGATTGCCTGAAAGCTGTAGAATTGTGCAATGGGTCTAGGAATTCATAAATGCATTTGTATTGTTGTAGTCAGTGCATACTAAAAGGACAACAATCATATGGGGAAGTGGAGAAATGTTCCCACATTCAAAAAGGATCCTTTCAGGGGCTGGCCCGGTGGCACAGCAGTCAAGTTTGCACATTCAGCTTCGGCAGCCCGGGGTTCACTGGTTCAGATTCAGGTGCAGACATACACACTGCTTGGCAAGCCATGCTGTGGTAGGCATCCCACATAAAATAGAGGAAGATGGGCACGGATGTTAGCTCAGGTCCAGTATTCCTCAGCAAAAAGAGGAGGCTTGGCAGCAGATGTTAGCTCAGGGCTAATCTTCCTCAAAAAAAAAAAAAAAAAAAAAGGATCCTATAGGTCCATCCCCAGTGGCCTAGTGTTTAAGTTTGGTGAGCTCCGCTTCAGCGGCTGGGGTTCAGTTCCCAGGCACAGATCTACACCACTCTGTCAGCAGCCATGCTGTGCTGGCGGCCCACATACTGAAAAATAGGGGAAGATTGGAACAGATATTAGCTCAGAGTGAATCTTCCTCAGCAAAAAAAAGGAGAGAAAAAAAGGATCCTTTCAAAGAACAGGAAACCCAGATGGCCAATATATGTATGAAAATGTGCTCAAGCTCACTAGAAACAAGGTGGGTAGTTAGCCAGGGCTGCCGTAACAAACTACCACCACTGGGTACCTTAAAACAACAGAAATATATTCCCTCACAGTTCTGGAGGTCAGAAGTCTGAAATCGAGGTGTCAGCAGGGTGGAGTGCCTCCAGGGCTTTGAGGGAGAGTCTGTTCCACGCCTCTGGCCTGGCTCCTGGTGGTGGCCGGCAATCCTTGGTGCTCCTTGACTGACATCTGCATCCGTCTGGTCTCTGTCTCCGCGTCCCCTGGCCTTCTCCCTGTGTCTCTGTCTCTCCTCTGATAAGGACACTAGTCCTCGGGTTTAAGTCCCGCCCTAATCCAGGATGATCTCATCTTAACTAATTACATCTGCAAAGACCCTATTTCCAAATAAGGTCACGTTCTGGGGTTCTAAGTGGACACGAATTTTGGGGGACACTATTCAATCCAGTATTCTAGGGAAGTGCAAATATAAAAGACACAGAGATTACCATTGCACTTCCATCATAATGGCAAAAATTAAAATGTTGGCATCGCAGGCTGTGTTTTCCAGAAATAAGAGAAGTTTTGGGGGCAAGATGTTTATTAGGGATCACTTCCTGTGAGAGAAACCAGACAGAAGGAGGATGGGGCAGAGGAGGAATCCAGCTGCGATGCAGGCCTGACAGGCTCAGGTCAGTTTGGTGAGCCCTGGAGTGACCGCTGCCCCTCAGAGTGTCCTTCCTGGGGCTGAAATATGTCCCCAGATGCGGGCTGCCCCAGAAGGGCATGCCCTCGGTGAGGTGGCTCTGTGCCACTGAGGCAGACCCTAAGGGAGCTGACAGCTGGAGGCCCCTGCTGAGGAAGGCAATGAGCCTTCTTCAAAGAGGGGGTCTGGATGGCACACGCGTTGTCTACCACAGTCTGATGATACAGAGATGGCCAGAATGAAGACCGTGGCCAGCTGAACACCACCACCCCAGATGTCCACGTCAAATCCCTGGAAACTATGAACGTCCCTTATTTGGAAAAAGAGTCTTTGCAGATGTGATGAAGTCAAGGATCTTGAGATGAGGAGATCATCCTGGACCACCTGGGTGGGCCCTAAATGCTGTCACAAGTGTTCTTATAAGAGAGAGGCAGACGGAGATTAGACAAAGGAGAGAGGAGAAGGGGATGTGAGGACGGAGGAGGCTGAGATCGGAGTGACATGGCCACAAGCCGAGGAATGCCTACAGCCACCAGAAGCCGCAAGAGAAGCAGATTCGCCCCTGGAGCCACCGGAGGGAGGGGTCGTGGCCCTGCGCACAACGTCATCTTGGCCAGTGAGATGGACTTCCGACTTCTCACCTTCAGAACTGCAAGAGAATAAATTCCTGTTGTTTAAAGCTGACAAGTTTGTGGTAATGTGTTACAGCAGCCCCAGGAAACTAATGCAGAGTAACAGAAATTTTCTATTAGGGGTGCAAGTTGGTGTAGCCACTTAGAGGATCCACCCAGGGTGGCGGTGGGCATTAAGAGGTCACATGGACCGCCAGCTTCCAGCCACCCCTGCCGACCTCCTGGCTGCACCTGGTACAGCTCCCGGGGACCAGCCTTTGTTCTTGCCCCACTTGTCACCTCCACCCGGCTGGGCACCCCACGATCTCCAGTTTCCTGGCCTGCCAGGGAAGGGGGAGTGCTGAGGAGAATGACAACTCCTGTCTTTTCCCTGCTTTGGGAAAGAAATACCCCTGGAGCCTAGATCTGCTCGCCTGGGCAGAGGTCAGTAAGATAGGAGTGATCCATAATCCAATGGGGCCCCGGGGCTCCCTGCCCCACAGGGCACAAGGTCCTTGCGCTCCCTTGGGTGTATCTTACTTTACTCATTGCATGTTTGCATATAATGGACTGTCATACTTGAACCTGGTTTTAGGAAAGTACAGGTAAAGGTAAACAATTTTATAAAGCCATAAAGCAGTGTGTGTGTGGGCGGGTGAGCTGATTAATGGATATTCATAGTTTATAGCCTTATCTCAAACTCCTCTCCCAGCCCTGCTCCTCCCGGAAATAGATCTCCCAAAGGCCAGGGGTTGGGCCTGACTTCCCGGCCTGGTCCCTCCATAGCCTGCACCTAGTTCTGGCAGTGTTCTCTGAAGGGCAGGCCACAGGTGGGCGACACTGAATCCTGTCCACTGTGGTGGGGCTCCTTCTCCAGTGGGGGGCTGAGAGAACAGGATTCTGCCCCCCGGGTCCCAGACATCAGAAAGACCTGGATTTTGGAGTCCAGGGGAATGAATGCCTGCAGTACAATTCCAGACAGAAACGGTGCCCTACCCCTTCGTTACTGTCCCCCAGGCTGGTGCCCATCCCACCATCTTCCTGGTCTCTTCCTAGCACCTGAGCTAGAATGAGTTTTTTGCTTTTTCTGGTGTCTTCTGGCTCATCCACTCTCAAAGAGACTGGACTTTGAGAGAAAGTGACAGATCTAGAAAGCTGTGGGTACCTTCCTGGGACAACTGTGTACACTTACCAGAGGCAGGGGGACCTGGCAAAGTAACATCCTGCAATTCACGTAACCCCCCAGGGAGACGCTAACTAACAGCAAACTTGCTGCAGCTGAAACCGCAAGAAGTAAAAGAAATGGGTTTTCTCTCACATTTACCTGACCCAGAGAGAGTGGGACAGAGGCAACTGGCTACATTCAGAACTTCCTAGGGTAAAGACAACACGTCTGTTTCTCATTTTAAAGCTTGCACTGGGGCCACCCCTGTGGTATAGTGGTTAAGTTCAGCACACTCCACTTCAGCAGCCAAGGTTTGCGGGTTCTGTTCCCAGGCATGGACCTACACCACTCAGCAGTGGCCATACTGTGATGGCGACCCACATACAAAACAGAGGAAGACTGGCACAGATGTCAGCTCAGGGTGAATCTTCCTTAGCAAAACAAACAAACAAACAAAAAAACTTGCATTGAGTACCTACTATATGTCAAGTCTGTATCAGTGATAAGTAATTCTGGGCTTAAGGAGCTAAAATTCTAAAAGGGAGACAGACACATGAGTAGATCATTACAATACTTTATATGTGTTTCTGTACACATACACGGTATAATCAATTATGGTATATATCGTGTTAAATAAAAGCATATGAGCAAGCTCTGTAGAAGCAAGAAAATTCCTGGTGGAGTAGGAGACATAATAATTAATTTGGGCCTTGAGGGATGAGTAGGAGTTTGTCTTGGTTTACACAGAGGGAGGCCTAGAGCACAGCGCGAATTCCTAATCTCACCTTCCTAGCCTCCGTGCCCAGGAAGGGAGGCAGAGAAAGGGCCTAGTGTGGGATTTCGGGGAGGGCTGGGAGAGGAGGCAGCAGGGGCCTCATCCTAGGAAGGCCAGGCTGAGCGGGTTCCACTGTGGGCCATGGGGAGCCTTTGAAGGGCTGTGCACCTGAGGCCTGGGGGCAGGGGGCTATTCAGGATGGAGAGGAGTAAGAAGTCAAGAGGCCACGAGAAGCTGAACCAAGCAGAATGAGGTTGGAGGTGGTGGGGCAGGTTGGAGAGTTAGTTAGGATTTAAGATGTAACTTGCGGGGACAGCCAGGGGAAGGGGGAATTGTATGCTTTTTCTCTCCCTGGTGCTTGCTCCGAGCCTGGCACATGCACACTCAGGCCATGGAGGAGGGGAGCTGGGCAGCACCGGGCCAGGGAGCTGCTGCAAGGACACTGAACAGGCCGCAGATGTTTTCCACTCCCCAGTGACGCCTCTCCCAGGGGAGAGGCAACACAAACAGGCCACCTAAGGGTGGCTGCAAAGACCTTCTCCAAGGCGTGGTGCCACCTGTAAGAGCAGCCTCTGATGACGGTGCACACACCTTGGTTAATGGAGGTTTGCGGGGGGAGGGGGGGCGGTGATGACGACAGTGGCTGCAGGTCAGTGAGGACGTCACCCCCTGTGTGCACACTCTCTGCCCCGCCCCCAGCGTGTGCCCACACCCTGCCTTCTTGGCTTTCCCTCTCTTCGTGCCTCCCCAGGGCCCCAGCCCCTCCTTCCCCAAGAGCTTGCCCCAGGTTTTGCCGACCTTATAATACCCAGTAAGGCCCATCCAATGGATGGCTGGAAGTTTGGGGGCAGTTGAACGAAGTTTCCGTTTGGTGGTGGGGAGCTGTCCCTGTTCTCTCTGAGAGTCTGATAAAAGGACGATCCTGTGTACAGAAAAGTAAATGCTCCTCTGCCCACACACGGGGACTTTTGCATATGATTTCAAGGCTCCTGAAGTCCACCTCTAAGTGAGGGAGGAGGGGAGGAGGATGTTCCAGGTAGTGGTGGGTCCGGAGAGCCTGGCCCAAGGAGGGGCCAGTGCCCGCTCCCCACCCCATCTCCTGGGAAGACTTGAGGAGGGGCCCTTCAGGTCAGGAGGAAACCACGGCCCCCCACCCAGCACACACCCGAGGAGCATTGAGCAGACAGCCTGGGAACCGGTCTGCCAACCAGTTTAACCAGGGACTGGTTTCGACTCCGGAGTTCAAAGGAGCTGGGTGCATGCACCGTCTGCCAAGCCAACGGGAGCAGCGGCTCTTAACCCTTTCCCCGTTGTGCCCAGGGCAACATCCAGGAGCGGTCCAGCTGGAGAGGGGCCTGAGCCTCTTTGGAGGATGAGATGAGCGGGAGTGACCTTGGCTGTAGCCGGGGCTGCAACCAGGCACCTGAGAGTGGGAAACTGAGGAGAGAGGCTCCCGTGTTGCCCCTAGCCCAGACTTCCCTTGGGACTCCCTCCTGCTGGCTAGGCGGTCCCTGGAGGACCCTGGCTTCTGGGTGGGTACAGGGGCAATGGGATTGGATTTCTGGGGTGATGAATATTCATCAGCCGAGCCGGCCTCTGCTGCTGTTTACTTAGCGGGAGGGGCTGGGTTTCAGGTTCACCTTGACTCCTGGAGCCGCAGAGGAGCAGGTACTCACTCCTGCACCTGTTTCTCTAGCACCTGCTGGGCAGCTGCTCCTACCCAGCTCTCCTGGCCTGAGCCCTGCCTGGCGTGGCACCCCGGAGGCACCCCCACTTCCGCCAGTCACCCTCCCGGGCAGCTCCTACACTCAGCTCCTTCTCTAAGGAAAGTCTCACCTCCATCTCGGAGCAGTCGGACTACAGGTACAGGCAGAGGGTGTGCGGGTGGGGAAACCAAGGCACAGACTCCAGTCAGGGCACCCAGTTCTGCCTCCATGGCTGACGAGCTTAGCCGGGAGGGGGATCCCAGGCATGTCGGCCCCCATTTCTCCCAAGGTGGGCAGGCAGAACTCGGACTCATCCCGTTGGCTTCTTGGAGTCAGTCCAGGCCTCCAGCAGAGCTCCTTCTGGGAAAGTTTCACTCCAGAGCAGCTCTCTATTAACTCTTGCTGAACGGGTGCCTACCACTTCCTATCCCCCAGTCTGGAGGATGTTTCAGGCTGTCTGGTAGGAACATCTCCCTGTTCCTATCCAGGGTACCCCAGTCTTATCCAGAGTGGAGAAGTGCCATCAGGGGCCCTGCAGAGGGATGGGAGGTGGGCGTTCTGGATTTTGTTTTATAACATACAAGCTGACTTGCTCCCTCAACACCCCTTTCCACCCCTGCACCTCCACCTCAGTCAGTGGTTAACTTGTCCAGCTCCGAAAGGGTCCAGCCCAGTCTGGGTAAGCCCCTTAGAGCGGCTCACAGAACTCAACTGGGGTGGAAGGGCCCATCTAGGGGTGCCCACATGCATGCCACAGGCAGGGGGTGGCAGGCTGTGCCGAGAGGCCCTTTGTGGCGTCCAAAGCTGTGCCAACAGTAGAGGTGTAGTTGGCATCCTCAGGGGCCAATTTCTATCATCCATAGATGTAGGCCCCAGGGCAAGGGCCCAGCCCTCTGCAGGGCCAGCTCAGGGCCCTGCCCATCAGACCGCAGGGCCCACCACATGTTACCAAGTGCCAGGTCTGTTTGAAATCCAAGTACACCCCTGCCCCCAGTGTCCTCGGCCTTCTGTGATCAGGGGTGGGCATGTGGCCATAGTATCTTGCTCTTTGCTACTTGGTATAGCTGGGAAGTTTGGCTATTACATCACTTTCTTTTTTTTTTTTTTAAAGCAAATCAGATTTTACACTCTCTGTGGGGTAGCTCACTATTTAAAAGAATCTTGTAGCCGGGTTATTTTGTAAAACAAAAAATAGTCTGCTTGTTTAGCTGTTCTGCAGATTAGATTTTCATATGTCACTCTCGCCTAAAGGGGCAAACACCTGCTTACTGGTGCTCGCATGTCTTCCTGGACAGAAGGGACAGCAAGGCCTGGCTGAAAGCATCCTAGAGGGACGAGAGTTCAAGGCCAGCAGACAAAGGCGCCGATGCCTTGGTGCTATGGTGGAGGCCCCAGAGCAGGCTCCAAGGGCTGTTTCCAACTCTCTCTATGGTTTTCTGACAAGTTCCCTGTGACCTGTCGCTCCCTTCACTCCAAGGAGAGTTAAGCCCTGCGAATGCCAACTTGAAATACCTGGTAAAGCAGGTCTATTTTAAACGGCGCAGCAGGGCCACTTCCTCTCGTGGAGCTAGGCACTCTGGGCCAGGAGCTGGATCCTCCACTCCCCAAGTTCCTTGGCAGCCCTGGATGGGCGGTGGTGGGGCCGTGGGCCTCAACTCAGACCAGGCAGCAACTGGGGCACCCACAGGCCAAGCAAGCGCCCTGTCCCTCCTTCCTGGCCCTCCCCAGAACTCCTTCCAGAAACCCCTTCTGGAACATCGAGTTCTGTGCAAGGCTGTGCTAAGCCCAGGTGGGGCAAGCGGCCAAAGCAAACCTCTCAGGCTGTCCCCTTGGGGCACTCACCTCTCCAGGGTACCCTGAAGGTATTTATCTGGCCTCTCTCAGCCACTCCTGCACTTTCTAAGTGGGAGCTGCACAAGATCCCCTTGGGCTTCTCTGGGTGCTTGAGCTCAGCTACAGGGACAGAGCTGGCCATATGGGATCTGCTTCCTGGACAAAGAGGTGGGAAGGAATCCACTGGGCACGAGCTCTGGGCAAGGGGATGGATACATGGAAGGACAGGGGACAACAGCAGCAAGGGGGCCATGGATGCAGGCACTTAACTCTTCCCAAGCCTAGGCCAGCATCCGGCTTTCATTTCTTGTAAATTTGATATGCTCCCCCTCTTAAAAGCATCCATACTCATTATGAAAAATCTAGAAATCAGAAAAATAGAGGGGAGAAACATCCCCTATTTCCTCTACATAAAGAAAACCACTATCAATCATTTGTCATAGTTCTTTCTGGTCTCTTTTAAAATGTAGTTTAGGGGCCGGCCCCATGGCCGAGTGGTTAAGTTGACACACTCCGCTTCGGTGACCCAGGGTTTCGCGGGTTCAGATACTGGGCGCGGACGTGGCACCACTCATCAGGCCAAGTTGAGGCGGCATCCCACATGCCACAACTACAAGGACCCACAACTAAAATATGCAACTATGTAGTAGGGGAATTTGGGGAGAAAAAGCAGAAAAAAAAGAGAACATTGGCAACAGTTGTTAGCCCAGGTGCCCATCTTAAAAATAAATAAATAAATAAATAAATAAACAAAATGTAGTTTAGACCATCGGTTTTTAAAAGGAGGTGATATATTTGCCTGTGCTTGCACCAGCTGACCGCCCAGCTTCCTGGTGCACTGTGGCCATTGTCCTTCCCCCCCGGGATGTTTCACGGCTGCACCCAGGACTCCTGAGACCAGACCACCAACCTCTCCAGGCCCAGAGATGCCTCCATTTCTCGTCACCCTGCCTGCTCCTTCACTGATCTGAATTCCTCTAGTCTGCTCTCTCTTCTTGCCATGCCCAGGCAACGCCTCTCCCAGAACTTCCATTAACTCAGACAGCAGCTTTGTGGAAATTAGTAAAAAGTGAGGCCACATCCGTGTCAGGGCACATTGCTCGTCAGTGGAGAAGCCTGGATTTCAGTCGCCCGCCCCACCTCTGTTGGGTCTCCTTATGGAGGGTCCAGCCTGTGATAACAATATCTCACTTGTACCTCCTGGCCCCACTAAACCGCCTTCCAAATTTTCCGCTCTCCTTCAAACCCCTATCCTCATGGAAGCTAGGGCCAGGTGGCAGGGGTGGGGCGAAGGAAGCCATCCCTCGGTAATTATTACTGTTATAAGTTTTACTTTGCAAAGCGTGTCTACCTCTGGGCAGGCATTAACGTCAGAGCTAAATATTAGGACTGAAAGGGTTAGATGAGGATGCTGAGGTCCAGAGAAGTACCTTTCCAGAGGTCACGAGGCAGGAACCGTCCCCAGGACTTCCCACTCTCAGCCGGAGGTTCCTTCCCCTTAGAAAAACCCCAGCAGCTCCTGTGGTCCCGCTGTCACCACCGGGAAGTCCAAATTACTCCAAGCATCACAAATTTTAATTTTGTAATGAATTCCAACAAAATGCACAGGGTCTTTCTGTCCTGCTGATCCCAGCTGACCACTGCTCACTCCTGGCTGCAGGGCCTGGTGGTGTAGTGAGGAGAGCTTGGGAAGAGTGTCAAAGGCCTGGATGCTGTGTGACCTGGACGAGCTGTCCACCTTCCTGCAGCCCTGTGTGTGGCCTGGGGTATGGCTGTCCCCCTGCCCCTCCGCCAGGCTCGCGCGGCTTCCTCATCAAAATTGACTCAGCCGCCCCTTCCCAGACCCCACGCTCTTCTCCTTGTATCATTTCCCTGAGTCCTGGGTTCATCTGGCTCTGCCTTCAATTCTTTCAAGCCTGTGCTATGAAAATAGCCCATGATTAGGGGTCTAGAGAGGGCTGCTCCAAGGCACCCCCTTATCCCCACTGACTCCCCTTTCTCTCCTGCTCTGCTCCTGCAGAAGGCCCCACCCTTGGCTCAGGGAACGCCATGACCGAAGTTGGTTGGTGGAAGCTGACGTTCCTCAGGAAAAAGAAATCCACTCCCAAGGTGCTGTATGAGATCCCTGAGACCTACGCCCAAACAGAGGGCGGTGCGGAGACCCCAAGGCCTGACAGTGAGGGCCCCAACGGCAACTTTAACACCCGCCTGGAGAAGATTGTGGACAAGAACACCAAGGGCAAGCATGTCAAAGTCTCCCACTCTGGCCGCTTCAAGGAGAAGAGCAAAGTCCGAGCCACGTTGGCAGAGAACCCCAACCTCTTTGAAGAGAGGGAGGGCAAAGGACAGTGAAGGGGGCCAAGGAGGGTGCTAGTGCCTCCCCACTCCCTGCCATCAGCTGGATCTGAGACAGGAGCATGCCACGCTGGCCTCTGGCCACAGCTGAAGCCATGGAGGCAGTTGCCTGCTCGCAGGAAATGTCTGGTTTTAGGTTTATATTTATGTGCCCCAGCTTTCTGGAAGGCCTGGGAGATCCCAGGGTCTTCCCACCCTCCTCCACCACGAATTCTGGTGCAAGGATGAAAAGTCCCCCCAGGAAGGACAGCCCTCCTGGAAGTGGTGGCAGCACCAGCAGGGAGATGGGCATGGCCAGGAATGGAGAGAGGGAGCCAACCGACGTCACCTCCTCCCAGGGCACAGGGTCAAGGGTGAGTTTGAATTGCTGCTCCTTCTACTTTCTCTACCTGTGACTGTTTTCTGGACCAATTCGGAGAGCACATTTTCCAGAAGCCACGTGATGGGGGGTGGTTTCCTGGAGCTGGAGGCGGAGACACTGAACTTGAGCTCACCTCCTAACAAGGGTGGGAAACTTCCTGGAGCTTCACCCCCAGGTATGTAGGGGGTGGAGGACCCTGGCACTCCTCGGGGAGTTCTGCAGAAGGCCAGATGAGGGACCCCGAGGGTCCCTGCACACATCCTCAAAGGAAAGCTACATTGGCCTGAATCCAAACTAGGGGGGCCTGCCCCGTGGCCGAGTGGTTAAGTTCGTGCACTCTGATGTAGCAGCCCAGGGTTTCGCTGGTTCGGATCCTGGGCATGGACATGGCACCGCTCATCAAGCCATGCTGAGGCAGCATCCCACATGCCACAACTAAAGAATACACAACTATGTACCAGGGGACTTTGGGAGAAAAAGGAAAAATAAAATCTTAAAAAAAAAAACTAGGGGCGGGGGGCGGCGCGGAAGCTCTGGTAGGGGCTACAGGCAGCCCGTTCTTCCCTCTCCTTCCCCTATGAGTATTGAAGATGGATCAGCCCCAGAAATGAGTGAGCCTTGAATTTTCTTTAGAAAAATAATTGTAGGTTTCTCTCTTTGTAATAAACAATGCTGCCAAAGCAGAGAACCTATTTATGCTCTTGTCTTGCATTTATTGAGATGACTGCTTTTCACGCCTTTACTCCCTTCATGTGGAACATTGTGCTCAATCTGTTCCTTTCAAGCTTCAGGCAGGGTCCCTGGGTGTGAAAATGGAGTCACTGAGACGCTAATTTCACCACCAAGTCCTCCTTAGCGTCTGGGGATGGAGAAAGCAAAGGAAAGAGCTAGTTCCACCTCGGCGGGCAGTTCCTTCTGGTCCGCAGAGAGGCCAGCAGGAGCGCGAAGAGAATGGAGCAGACCTGTGGAGACTGACCCCAAAGTTGCAGTGGTTCAGTGTGGGATCAGGATTCAAATTCTGGTTTCACCCCTTAGTAGCTGGGTGATTTGGGGAACATTAAAAAGACCCAGCTTCCTCTGAGCCTCAGTTTCCTCTTCCCTAAAGGGGCTGCAGTAATACCTATTTCCCAGGGAGTGGTCAGTATTAAGTAGCCTATAAGTAGTCCCGGAGGACGCGCTCAGTTCATATTGGTTTCCTTGCCTGTTTCCTTTACTCAGGAGCTCCACCATAGCCCGCAGCTTCCCTTCAAAGGAGAGGAGACAGCTTGCTCCCTGTGCTGTTAGGTCCAGCTCTTTCTCAAGCTCCAGGAGCTGGGAATTGGAAAAACATTGGCCAAATCTCTGCGGCTCACGGTGGGAACAGGGAGAGACTAAGGTGGCAACTAAACAATGTGGTCCTGCAGCTTCCAGGTCAGCTCCTTGCAGGCTGCTGGGCCACCCCACCCCAGGGAGCGTTACTCAGGAAATTTATTACCAAAACAAACAGACCCAGACAAGGGGGCCTTTGTTAGGTGGCCTCGCCCTGGCCAGGGGGAACTCAGAGGATGAGTGAGGAAGATCAGGAGCCAGGAGGGAGGGAGGTGGCTCGGGTGTGCTGCCTTCCCAAGGCCTCTTCCCCATCCCTCCCCACCACATGGATCTTTCTAGGGTCCCACCAGTTTCCCAATCCACAAAGCCTCTGGTGGAGGAGAGGCCTTCCCCACACGCCAGCCCTGCCCTGTGTTAATCAGCCCTGCTGATGTTTGCAGAGGGCTTACAACCGAGCCCTGTGGCAAGTACTCCAGAGGTTCCTCACTTAATCCGCTAATCACCTGAGACAGGTGCTGTCATTACCCCATTTTTCCAGGTGGGGTAGCTGAGGCTTAGAGACTTTCCGTTCCTCATTCCTCGCCCTAGGTGATAAGTCTCTCGCCCTGGATCAGGCAGGCTCGCAGTGGTGGAGCCAGGACTGCAGCCACAGCTGGCCTGTGCACGTGACCACTGTACCACACAGCCCCTGCCACGCTTGATTTTCAGTTGCTGGGAGCAGGGGCAGACGGGAAACTGAGGCTCAGAACTAGGACAGGAGCACAGTCACCTTCTGGAGGAGGGGAGGTGGGTGACAGCAGGCCATACCTGGGCCTTGGGATCCTGGGAGGTGAGCACCATTAGAGGGTGCTGTACAGACTCTGGACGCAGTGGGGGAAACGCAACCAGCTTTGAGGCTGAGTGTCCCCTGAGACCCCAGACTGTAGGGACCTGCCACTTCAACCCATCCTGGGGTTCCCTGAGGCGAGGCGGGGGATGAGGCTGGGCCCTGGGCCGCCAACCCATGGTTCTACCCGATACTGGCACCATGTTGCCACCATTGCCCCTCTTAGGTGAGAGGGTTTGTGGCCCCTCTGCCTCATGCATGCAACCCTTCTCCATAGCCCCAAAATTGATGTCCACAGAAATCTTCCAGGGAAATTCCACATATATCCCTAAGCTGGGGGATCGATGGATGGTGGGGTGCTAAAAGTCAAAGGGGGATCAGGCTGCCCAGGGAGTCAGAGCCCAGGCAGCGGCAGATTTTCACTCGGCTGGAGGAGGAGCTGGAGGAGGAACCGAGAGTGCAAATATGTGCAGGAGCCAGGAGAGGCTACGGGTTATCGACCACAGTTTCACTGGGACACAACCCAAGGAGGGGAAGGGGGAAGCAGGAGGGGCGGCTAGAACTGGCCTGCGCTGCCCAGAAGGGGCCAACCCCAGGTAGTGGGCTCCCCCTGCTGGACACCCAACCTGGACGTACCTGGAGAAGAGAAGGAGGTGAGGGTCACTTAAATTCCCCAGCTGCCCCCCAACCTCGGGGGTGGGGGCAAGACCAAGCCAGGTTGAACATTAATGTCATGCACGGCTGACAAGCTTTTATTACAGACTTGGCACAGTGACTGTCGGACAGAGAACAGGAAAGGAACAGACGAGACCAGCCTCAAAGCTGGGGGGAAACACAGCCACCAATAACACAAACAGGACCAGGCAGGGAAGGGCGCCCCAGGCCCCTCGCCTGTAGATGGCCACAGGTTAGCGTTGTGCCTTCCTGCACTCAGGCTTAAGGGGGGATCAAACCCAGAGGGCCACCCTTGGAAGAGCCGGTCAATAACAGGCACTGAAGCACACGCCCTTCCAGAGGAATGAAGCACAGTTTACAGAGTGGTAAGTTCAATGCCAACATGCACAAACAATAGTCAGTTCTCTGATCCTGGCTCAGTCACAGCAAACATTTACCCAGCCTGGCTCCTCTCCGAAGCCTGTAGGCCACTCATCCAGGCTGTTGCTAGTCACTAGATTTGTGCTCAGGGAAAGCAAATACAGTTCAGCACAGGCCTCAGCTGAGACTCACTGAAGAACCCCATTGTGAGGGTGGGAGGTCGTTGGTTTAGGGGTTGAGGCTGGTGCATCTGGTCACCTAGGGGGTCTTGTTAAATGCAGAATGGGACTCAGTGGGTCTGGGGTGGGTTCCCAAGTGATACTGATGCTGCTGGCCTGTGGACCACACCACGAGTAGCAAGGATCTAGACTAGAGGTCTCAACCTTGGGTGCACCGAATTCCCTGGGGAGCTTTGAAATTTCCCAAAGCCCAGGCTGCACTCAGATGAGTTAAATCACGCCTGAGGGTGGGACCCAGGCATCAGGGTTTTTCAAGCTCCCTGGGTAATTCCAGCATGGACGAAGCCAGTGGTCTAAGAGTCATCATCAGTGGGGGGGGAGGGGGGGGGTGAAGGGGAGGGGCATGTATGAGTAATCAGAAAGGATAATCTCTACAATAATTTAATTCTACCTGGAAAATAAAAAATATCTATTAAATATATATATGTACGTACATATACACACATATATAGTTTTCATAAACAAACATGGAAAGTAAAGCTTGATTAAAATCTTCCTGGCCCGTAGGTACCAGCACAGGAATCCCTTCTACAAAACTCCTAACTGACTGGCACTGAATACTTCCAGTGACGGAACACTCACTACCGAACAGGCAGCCCTCTTAGCCCCAATTATTTGAAATCCCTCCCCATATTCAGATGAAATCTATTTCCGTGCAACTTCCACCCACGGGCCCTTTGGACTACGGGGAATAGATTTCATCTTTTTTCTGCATTGCTGGGCTTCAGGTAATGAAAGGCAGCTATCAATCAGTAGGGTAAGTCCTATAAAAAAAATATGTATTAATAAATGAGTTAGTTAAGGTTCTTTTGGTTGCAAGCAACAGACATCGATTCCGGCTGATTTATGCCCCCAATTTTTTTTTTTTAGAGATAGCGGAGATTGAGGCAGGAGGGGGAGTTGCATAGCCCAGACGTGGGGAGGAGAGACCCAGGGCCCCTCAGGGAATTACAAAGAGCAGCAGAGCTCTTGCTTCTTAGCTGCCATTGCTGATTTGGCTACAATGACTCCCACGCTCTGGGTCTCTCCATTTCAAGTTTCAAATCGTTGACAAGGAAAACCAATTGGCTAGATTGGCTTGGGTGCCTATGATGGGACCAACTGGCTTTGGTCAGTATGACTCAGTCACATGGTAACAGACAGGGCTGCTGTGACCCAAGCTGTGTCACCAGAAAAGGGAACCGCACCAACTGCTACCCCTAGAGGGAATTGTCCCAATAAATCATAGTCAAGGTCAAGAAAATATGGGATTATTTTCCACCTGTGATTGTCTATGCCACTGTCACACTCCACTAGACCAGCTAATTGAGAGCCCACTGAGAACTGAGAGCTCGGAGAATGAACTCTGAAGAGCCCTAAATATAAGGGTTGGGGAGGGAAATGGGTTGAGTTTAGAAGGGCCTGGCTCCCGTCCCACACCCTCTCTTAGCGCCCGGCCCCAGCTCCCGTCAGTGCCGGCAGATTTGGAGTCAGGGCGCAAGTCTCTCATAGAGCCAGCCTTCCTCCCCGCGGTGGGTCATGGGCCCCAAAGGGGAGTCTCCTGTCTGGAGGCCTCGCCGAAAGATGATCCGGTCATGCAGGCGGTTGGTTTGGCCCTGCCAGAACTCCATCACCTGTGGGTACAGGACATAGCCACCCCTACAAGGAGAAGCAGAGGTTTCGGGGCTCTGTGCATTTTTCCAACCGTGTCACTCTCCCAACACCATCCCAGGGCCCCTCGAAGGAAGTTGCTGGGAGGTATCTGACCAGGGTTGACAGGGAGGAGGAGACGTGTGATTCCACAGACAGGGTGGCTTCAAGGAAATGTGAGGGTCCTGGTGTCCCTTTCGAGATGACCACCAGGTATCACTCACCAGTATTTTGGCTTTGGCACCTCTCGTTCCTGGTAGAGCTGCTCCAGTTCCTCGTTTTTCTTTCTCAGATACTGTCCAGGGGAAGGAGATGGAGGAAGGGCCAGACCTGGTCAATGATTCACTTAATAACCACTTACTGAGTATGTACTCTGTGCCAGGCCCTGGGGACACAAGTGACTGAGGCTGGCTGGCCTCTGTCCCCTAGGAGCACAGTCCAATGGGAGGGTCAGACAGACACAGGAGGGCCGCTTCCCAGCTCCCCATCCGCGTTCCCCCAGGGAGACCACCCTTTTCACTTTCCTAGAGAGGGCACTAGCATCCTGTAGGGACAGCCTCTGGGGACGAGTCAGGGCCCTCACCACGCGGAGGGCTAAGGAGGAGCCACACTCACCTCCCGATCAGGGATCACGGAACTCTGGTGACTGACCACAGCCCCAATCTGGCTGCTCTTGGGGCGGGAGTGGAAGTAGCTTTCAGCCTCCTCCTCAGGCAGCTTCTTCACGGGGCCCTCCACACGCACCTGCTCAGGCATGGCCCTGGCTAGATGGCATTCGATGTCGCCTTCCCTCCCTACCAGCACAGGCCCCATTCTCTCTCCCCTCCTTATCCACTGCCCCACCACTGCTGGCTCCAACGAGCCCAGCTAACTGCGAGCTCTCTGAGAGGCTGGATGTTTGTGCAGCCTGCAGACCTCCACTGGGCTCGTCTATAAACTCAGGCCCCTCCCAACTCAGCCCACTCCAGGCTGTCCAGAGAATGTTCACTCACCTGACGGTTTAGGGGCTCCCAGTAGAAGACGAGGGAAGCAAAGGGATTAGAGTCCTGGAAATGAAAAAGAATCCACAGACAGCCATCAGCACAGCAAGGAGGGCACCCCTGGAATGCGGTGGGAGGGCAGGAAGTCTGCAGCCTGCAGGCCCACAGCAGATGCATCTGCTGTAATATCTCATTTAAACTCTCAAAGGCAGGCCTACTTTTACAGGGGTGGATACAGGCTCAGAGAGGTTAAGTAATGTGCCCAAGTTCACACAGTAAGTGGTAGAGCTGCACTGGAAACCTAAGCCGGTTGGACTCCAAAGTGAGGCTTTGCCATTTCTCTCCCACAGACTTGCAAGTCCTCAGAAACACATGTGTGGCTGTACCGGACTCAGGGAGGGCTACTCATTTGGATTCATGAGCCGAATGCACACCATGTGCCACCTTGGCTGGACCCCAGGAGCAATGGTGGGGGTGTAACAGAGATGCAACAGATGCAGCCTCTGCTCCACGGAGCTCACCGTTTAGCAGAGGACACAAACATTAATCACATAAATAAATGCATAGATAGAAACTGAAAAAACGGCAGAAAGGAAAGTTACAAGTTATGAGAACAGCAAACGGTGCGAGGGCCAACTCAGCAGAGGACTCGAGGACGGCTTTCCTGACACGGGAACGTAGGGGCTGAGACCCAAGAACAGGAGTTACTTAGTTAAAGGGATGACAGAAGCGAGGGGGGTTAGAGAGCACTCATTCACGGCAAAGAGAACGGCAGGTGCAAAGGCCCGCAGGCAGGCCTACACCTGAGCACAGACGGCAGGTGGGGCGGGGCGAGGGCATCATGAGAAGGTGACCCGGGAGGGGACGGCTGGACCCTCCAGGCCGGGGATGGATTTATCCCGAACCCTCACCAGCTCTTTTCCCTTTCGACTCTCGAAGTTAGTGAAGAAACGGAAGCCATCCTTGCCGAAGCCCTTCAGCAGCACCATGCGGGCAGAGGGCTTCCCATCTCTGGGGCAAAGAGCAGAGCACAGCAGTCAGAGCCCATCTCAATGTCCTCGCTACCATCCCGCCCCACAGGATGTCTGAGCAGTCCTATAGCTGTGTGCCCCTATTTGGCTCCGTCTGGGCACTCAGGCCACACATTCTCACTTGCTTGCTGGAGATCTGTCCTCGGGGTGCATGTCTGACACCACTGCCGGGGGCCCTGTGATAGACTGAACTGTGTCCCCCTAAGATCCTATGTTGACACCCTAACCCCCAATGCGACTGCATTTGGAGATTGGGCCTTTAGGGAAGTAAGGAATGTTCAATAAGGTCATAAGGGCAGGACTCTACTCAGAAAGGACTGGTGTCCTTATAAGAAGAGGAAGAGACACGAGGGAGAGGGAGCTCGCTCACTCTCCCTCCCTGTGTGCATAAAGGAAAGGCCATGTGAGGACACAGCGACAGGGCGGCCATCTGCAAGCCAGGAAGAGAGGCCTCACTAAAACCAACTCTGACGGCACCTTGATCGCGGACTTCTGGCTTCCGCAACTGGGAGAAAATCAACTGCTGCTGCTGAAGCCGCCCAGTCTGTGGTATTTCGTGATGGCGGCCCTAGCAAAGCGACAAGGTTCTAAGGGCCGCAATCAGCCAATGCTCCGGGACCACTGGAAGGGCAGTTAGATCAGATCCTCTGCCCAGAGCTCGGGGGAAACCCAGGGCCACAGCACAAGAGCCTTACACTCGTGATGGGGGACAAGAAGAGTTGAGTGAGAGGCTAACACCGGAGCTGTCTCAGGGGGTATCTGATTGGTTACCAAATGAACAATACAGCCAAGCACTGTGCTAGGTTTCAAGAGAGGGAGAGAGCTTCACGGAGAGGTCCCAGGAGATGCAGCCCCTAAAGTGCAGACGGGAATAGGGTAGTCAGGAGATGAGAGGGGCAAGGGTGTGTCTGGGTGCATCAAGGGCAGAGATGAATGAGGCGCTGCATTTTATCACTGAAATGGAATTGAGGGAAGTCTGATCTTTGGTTTATAGGTAAAGATGCTGAGGCCCAGAGAGGACAAGAAACTTGCCTGAGGCCACACAGCAAGTTAATAACAGAGCTAGAACCATAAAGTTGGCATCTATCAAACTGAGAGCTTCCTAAGTTTCCTCCCCTATCTGTACCCGCCCACAGAAGATGCCACGGCTGTGCCCACCTGGTGCAGGTAGCCAGACACATGGCATTGGCTTCCCCTATGTCAGGACACTGAACAGCCTCCTCGAACCAGGCAGCAAACTGCTTCATGGGGTCCAGGGAAGTCAGCTGAGCCTCCTCGAATGCCTGGGAAGGGAGTTTTATTTCATTTAATAAACGCATATAGCACTCACTGTGTATGTGGCACCGTTCTAGGCACGTTTCAAATATTAACTCATTTATCCTCATAACAATGACCTCGTAACAAAAAACAGTACCCAGGGGGCTGGCCCCGTGGCTGAGTGGTTAAGTTCACATGCTCCGCTTCGGCGGCCCAGGGTTTCGCCAGTTCAAATCCTGGGCGCGGTCGTGGCACCACTCATCAGGCCACGCTGAGGTGGCGTCCCACATGCCACAACTAGAAGGACCCACAACTAAAAATACACAACTATGTACAGGGGGGCTTTGGGAGAAAAGGAAAAATTTTTTTAAATCTTAAAAACAAAACAAAACAAAACAAAAAACAGTACCCAGGAAGTAAATTCTGTTGGCCCCACCTTACAGGTGAAGACAGAGGCATAAAAAGGCAGAATAATTGCCAGGTCCCACAGCTAGTGACAGACGAATCAGGGTTTCATGTCATGGGTGCCAAACCTACCACCTGGGGAGCCTAAAAAAACGACAGATTCCTGGGCTCCACCCCATAAATTCTTATTCAGTAGGTCTGAGGTTTAATGAAAAACTGCCTCTTTAACAAGCATGTCCAGAAATGCTCTCATGCAGCCAGATTTGGTAACTATGGCTCTGGGCCGCAATTCCAAAACACTGCTCTTGGCTCCTCTCCTGAGGAGGGAAAAGGAAGAGAACTTCTCCAAGTGGTAAGCGAAGGGACTGGAGGCAGCAAGAGCTGGAGGCGTCCCCCCGTCTTCCTCCGTGTGTTACTTCCTTATCATGGATAAGCTGCAGATCAGTGTTCTAAGCACTTCACAAACATCCAAGTCCCTCACATCCCCGGGAGGCAGGGACGATCACTTCACAGGTGAGGAAACCCAGAGAGGTTAAGTAAACTGCCCAGGGCGCTGCACCCAGTGACTTGCAAGGTTCCAGCCCAGGCCGGCTCCACCGCACGGGCTGCCTCTCAAGCCCATCTTAATCCTCCTTTCCCCCAGAACCCCTGCCCGTTGGTGGTTTTTGAACACTCTCCCCCTTCTCCCTCGGGGGTGACCCCAGAAACCCCGCAGGGTTCCTCCCACTCCCTTCCCCTCCGGAGAAGACAGACTCCTGTTCCCCCGACCCTGCGGTCGCCCCTGCCGGCGGCGGCACCTCTCGGTCCCCGCGGTAACTCTTGCGCATGGGTCCCAGGTCCATGATAGCACCGCGGCCGCACAGGTGGCGGAGGTGGCAGAGGTAGCGCGGCCACTCGGCGGCTCGCCCGAACGTCACGATGACGCCCCACAGCCGGCACGTCATGAGGCCGCCGGCCACGTGACCCGGCGTCGCCCAGCGCTGGGTTCCGTTGGGTTCGGAACCAGTTTCCCAGCCCGGGACCCTAACCCGAGGAAGGAAGAATTCGCCAGTCGCCAAGCCCAGGGAACGGGCCCTGAGTCCTCGGAGCCAATGGGAGCCCAGAGTCGGAGGAGGGAGACAGGCGCGGAGAGGCCATTGGTTGGAGTTTTCCGGGAGCGAGGCCAATTAGAACGAGACCTGGGGAACCCGGCGGCCAATGGGCGGCGCCTCCGGGGGCGGGAGCAGAGAGACAAGGAAATGCTGTCACCGCCGTTAACACGCACGTGGAGGTTTGTTAAAGATGTAGGGACTGCTGCAGCCCAGGCGGGGGCGGGGGATAAGCCGCTGGGGGCTTGCGGGGAGGGGTCAGTGTTAGGTGGCTGGCCCCTCGTAGGTGCCTGAAGGCAAGCCTAGTGCAGGGAAGTACCCCCTGGGGGGAGGCTGGTGGCCTGGGGAAGGACAAATGGAAAATGGAATTAGGGGCCAGACTCTGAGGCAAGGCGACAGGGAGACAAAGGGGCGATCTGGTTGTGGGACGAAATTGGGGCTCGAGCGTGGGAGAGGTGAAGTGACTTGTGGACCACGCGGGATAGGTGCCGTGTAGTGTGGGTGTGTTGGGGGTACTCGGGGGTCTGGGGAGGTGCAGTGGGATCAGGAAGAGACTGGGGTGAGCAAGAAGTCGGCAGAATGGGAAAGGGAAAGAGGGAAATTTGGGATCTAGCCGTCCCAGACCAGAGCCACCATTCTCTTCCAGCTCTGCGCCCCCTCTCTCCAGCCGGAGCGTGCTGCTCCCTCGGCTCATGGTGCAGCGGAGTTCGCACTAGCCAATGTTCTGGTAGATGGAAAGGCTGCCACTGTCCCACCTCTCCCAGGCCTCCCCCATCTTTGCCGACTTTCCCCTTTTCCACATTTTGTCCTTCCTAGGTAGTTGAAGTCTAGTTCCTAGGTCAATGCCAACCATAGCCGAGGGCACAGGGGAGCAGGTGGCTGTGCAAGCTACTTCCAGGCTGTGGACGCAGGGCTGAGAAATGGGAAACCTGCCAGTGCCCGTTCCAGCTGTGACCTGGCTGGGGCAGCCTTGGGTCAAGGGCTCTCTGTAGTCCTGGTTTCCACCAACATCAGGAAGGGGAGCTGCAAGAGTCATCTAGGCTGGCACCCCAGGACTGTGCCAGGTAAGGGGAGCTTCTTGCCCTGCCTAGGTGTCTGCATTATGGCTAAGCTTCATAAAGCCCTGTATTAGATTCTGTCATCCTTTATTGTATACACGTAGCTTGAGCCAAATAGAACCTGGAAGACGAATTTGCTGCAAAGACATAATACATGTCTTAAGGCTTGATGATGTTGATCTGCGGATCCTCCACTGGTTGGAATGTTTTGTGTTGCCATCGTTTTACTCCATCAACATGATAGAGAGTTGACTGGACTTTCTTGTTGAGACTGACTTTCCACATGTGAACATTGCTGTCCTCCCCTCCCCCCAAGCGCCTGCACTTCAACTTGTGTAAGCAGTAGTTAGTGTCCTTCAGCTCGTGGTGCCACACTCTTAGAACTCCTGGGCTATGCTACCCTGGACCCGGGATTCTGGGGCACCAAGACTAGGATCATTTGAATGGTTTGCTTAAAAGCCAAGGGCTTTGTATATTGGGGTAGATATTTATTCATTCAGCAGACATTTGTTAAAGACTTTTTTTGGACCAGGCACTGAGCTGGGTCTGAAAATACTAAGATGAAGAAGATGACATGGTTCCTGCCCACAAGGGGCTTGCAGTCTAGAGGGAAAGGCAGATCTGTAAGCTAAAGAGTGACAGGTACTTTAACAGATGTTTCTTTGAGGTAAGGGGAAAGTGATCTCCGGGGGTCAAACAGGAAAGGCTTTATAAAGGGGGCAGGCATTTGCTTTGTCTTAATGAGTGTTTGCCAGATGATCTGTGGAAGGGCATGCCAGGAGGAGGGAACAATGCAAGTGTGATATGGCTGGAGTGAGATGGTGAGAAAACAGGCTGGACAAGTAGGGGCTTGGTGTGCCCGCTGAAGATGAGGCAGGTGGCGAGGGCCAAGCTTTCAGACGACAATTCTGGTTTTTTTATCCTGTGATGTTCTGGAACCAGAGTGTCTAATTCCTGTTTTTTTGAGGCCAGCTGGGAAGAAAAAGTGCTAGATTCCGAAAGCCTCTCCCATCCTTGGTGATTAGTGAGGAAGTTTGCAACTGGTTGCCTTTTGATATTTTCCTCTTTGTCTTGAAGATAATAAGTAGGCTTGTGTTGTGCTTTTCTGCCTAGTGGGATTTGGTGGCTGGATCACAAAGCAGCCCTGCCGTGCAAACCAGAGAGGGGAACATGCCCGCTGGCCGTGCATAACCCCAGCAAGGGTTCTGTCTGCAGGGGAGAAATGAATTTTTTATTGTTATTGCTTTTTCTTGAACACTTTGCCACCCTGCCCTCCAACTTTGTAAAATTATTAATCTTTTCTTGAGAAAGTCTTAAATGATTAGAAAATATATTGCAATATTTCATTGTACAGAGGGGCACACTGGTTTTTCAATAGGCAACCAAAGGGATGTGTGTGGGTTCAGGAACTATGCCTTGTCTGTTTTCTTTAGATGCTTTTGCCCTTATGTTCTTTTTTTTTTTTTTTTAAGATTGGCACCTGAGCTACCAACTGTTTGCCGTATTCCTTTTTTTTTTGCTTCTGCTTTTTCTCCGCAAATCCCCCCGTTCATAGTTGTATATTTTAGTTGTGGGTCCTTCTAGTTGTGGCATGTGGGAGGCCGCCTCAGCATGGCTTGATGAGTGATGCCATGTCCGCACCCAGGATTCGAACTGGTGAAATCCTGGGCCACTGAAGCGGAGCATGCAAACTTAACCACTCAGCCACAGGGCCGGCCCCCTGCATTTATGTATATTCCTTTTTTTTTTTTTTTTTTGAGGAAGATTAGCCCTGAGCTAACATCTGCTGCCAATCCTCCCCTTTTTGCTGAGGAAGACTGGCCCTGAGCTAACATCCGTGCCCATCTTCCTCCACTTTACATGTGGGACGCCTACCTCAAGCATGGCTTGACAAGTGGTGCCATGTCAGCACCCGGGATCCGAACCGGCGAACCCCGGCCTGCCGAAGCAGACCGTGCAAACTTAACCGCTGCGCCACTGGGCCAGCCCCTGCATTTATGTTCTTAAATCACCTTTCAGTCTAATTGTTTGATTGAATTTTATGTTTCAGTTATATCTTGGTGATTGTGTTTTGGGATCTGGCTCTGGTGACCAAGTGGATGATGGGCGGGGGGCAAGGCGGTGGTCGGGAGAGGCTGGAGGACGCTGCAGTGTTGTGGAAGCAGAAGGCGGGAGTGGGGAGCCTGGTGCCTGAGTCTGGGGGATGGGGCAGAGAGGAGGGAATCCACTCCCCTGGATGACTTTAGGCGACATGGACGGTGCTGTTCGCTGAAGTGGGGAGTGCTGGAGGAGGAGCTTTGGGGGGAAGATGAAGTCACCATCAGACCTGTCAAGTGTGAGGGTTTGTGGGACACCCACGTTTGGTTGGGTTGGATAATCAAGTCTGGAGCTTAGGGGAGAGGTCTGAGCTAATGATACCAGTTTGGGTGTCATGATCCTCCATGGTGGCACCTGAAGCCATGGAGGAGAATGAGAATGAGAAAGGAAGAGGGCCTGGGACATGGTAATGACGCTGGGGAAATACAGCACCCAGCTTTCCGGGAAGCTGATGGCAGGCTGGAAGGGGTGTGTGCTGGGGCCCCTAAGCTCAGGAATTCTTGGGCCCAGCCTTGGGTGAACTCAGCTTGGAGCCTCAGGATGCACAGAAGGATGGGTGCTTGGTGCTCTGCCCACAGGTGCCTGAGCCCTAAGTGTGATTATCAGGGGGCCCAGAGGAGGGATGCAGAGGAGGCTGACCCTCACCCGCATATCCTGCCTGCAGTTTTTTGGTTAACCCTGGACATGATCCCTGCATCTGCTCCCACGTCACTTTTCGAATATGTCCCATCGTTTTCATACATGCTCCCTATTAGAATGACCTTCGTGGGAGAGACTATATCTCTTACTTTCTCTGGCTTCTCAAAATCCCAGCCAGGAAATGCTAATCTGTACTGTTTATGCATAAATCGCTTTGGCTAAACTTCTCTGTACCGGAGCTAGGCCTGGTGAGTGGGCTTTGGGGTTTTTTTTTTGCACCTGGTGGGCGTGAGGCCGGGTGGCTTTGTTGGCTGGAGGGATGTTCAGCTTTCCAAGGCTGAGTGAGGTATTAGGGCGTCAGTCTCAGGCCTGGCACTGGCTGCCTTGGTAGTTGGAGTGGGGGCCACACGTGGAGGGAGGAGGTGCTAGCTGGTTCTCAGCAGCCCCAAAGGATCCGACCTGGGGACCTCTTCATTTCATTTGGGAAATCCTGGTTGGGCCTTGCTTTTGGCCTGCCCAGTGGTCATTTCTCCTTCCTCTTGCCCATGATCCCGATGAGCAGGTATTTGCCTCTCCTCTTGAAGCCCCGTTTCTTTCTTTTCAACCACAAGTGTGCTTGCTTTTCAGCGACACCCCTGTTCTTTATTCTGTCTTCCCAGGCTCACTTCTCTACTCCCTGAGGACCCCTTCACTAGGAAACCCAGCTGCCACCTGTCCCGAGATTACTGCCGTTCCTTTAGTGGCTTCATCCCAGCCTTGAGAGACCTTGGTCAGGTCACATGAGGTCTTTGTCTCAAAGCAGTGTCTCACCCCAGGTTAGGTTCCCTGGAAGCTACCACCGTGTAGACCTCAGCCTCATTCTGTCAGCCGTGAGCCCCTGATGGGTCCAGGGACCTGAGATGCTGCAGGTGGCTCTCATCATCAACTTCAAGTATGGGCCTCAAAGGGCCCTCAAAAGGTGATGCTAAAGGGGCCGGCCCAGTGGATCAGTGGTTAAGTTTGCACATTCTGCTTCAGTGGCCCGGGGTTCGCTGGGTCGGATCCCAGGTGCAGACATGGCACTGCTTGGCAAGCCATGCTGTAGCAGGCATCCCACATAGAAAGTAGAGGAAGATGGGCACAGATGTTAGCTCAGGGCCAGTCTTCCTCAGCAAAAAGAGGAGGATTGGCAGCAGATGTTAGCTCAGCACTGATCTTCCTCAAATATAAATAAATAAGTAAAAAGGTGATGGCAAAGGTGGACTGAGTGGTTTGAAGGAAGCCTGAGCTCTATTTGCTGGATTAGTTAAAAAAAAAAAAAAAAGGTGGGGGGGACCCCCCTGTGGCCAAGGGGTTAAGTTCACACACTCTCTTTGGCGGCCCACAGTTTCGCTGGTTGGGATCCTGGGCGCGGACCCAGCACCACTCATTCATTAGGCCATACTGAGGCAGCGTCCCACATAGCACAACCAGAAGGACCTACAAATAGAATACACAACTATGCACTGGGGGGCTTTGGGGAGAAGAAGAAAAAATAAAGAAGAAGATTGGCAACAGATGTTAGCTCAGGTGCCAATCTTAAAAAAAAAAAAAAAAGACTTTGCCTGGATCTGCTTTCAGGAGGGGGAACCTTCCCCGGCTCCCTTTTCTTTCGGGCTTGTAATCCTAGCATCTGGGATCAGTGAGCTGTGGCATTGAGCATTACTGAGCAGACAGGAGGGGGTGGTGAGGGGGGTGCTGATGATCCTGGGGAGGGAAGCGGGCAGAGGAGCGAACTCAGGCTGTGTGGCCCCCACTCTTGAGCTGCTGGAGGTGGGCTCCCCCCAGATTTTCAACCGGGGCTGATCAAATGTCCTGGGGAGGCCTCTGGTCTGGAGTGAGCTTGGGCTGTGTCACACTGTCAATAGTTCCCGCCCCCTGCAACTCTCAAGTAAATAAAGGATGGATTAAAGCCAGATGAGGGCGAATTTGCCACCAGCTCTCTCCATTCTTTCCTTGGGCATTGCCCTCGGTAGGCAGAATGCATTCTCTTGCTCCCTTTCTAACTCAGGTGTCCTGTAGGACACAGAGATGGTCAGACATAATTTCTGAACTCTTGCATCTCACTGGAGAAGGGAAATCCTGAGTGCCAGCACGCAGTTCTGCTTGCTGGGGGCTAGCACCTCCATTTCCAAAGGATGCCGAGGAGCCAGGTCGGTTTCCGCACGTGAAGCATAAAGCAGGACTTGCAATCAGCTCCCGGGAAAGGATGCTTCTCTGTGCCTGAGCACAAAGCCAAGAGAACATGTGCAGAAAGAGGTCAATTTATTAATATTCCCCTTCACCCCACCGATCCCGATTCAGAACTCAGCAAGGCAGTTTTCCAGTCGCAAAACCTGCGCATGAGGAAGAGATAAATACCCCTCCCGTCTTCCTCTTCCTGCCAGTGCAGTGATGAGATGTGGGGCTGATGGGCTGGTTAAGAGGCTTCTGTGAGGGTAGATTCAGCTGGTGGTCTGGTGTCGCCTAAAGGGCTTTAGTATGGGTAGGATGGGTCTCCCTATTTGCCTATTAACAAAGAAGTGATGGGGCGGAGAAACTGTGACCCAACTGAGACCCATCTCCTTTTTATTTCTTCAGCTGATGTGAGGGTGGACTGGCTCTAAGGAAAAGATGGTGACAAAGGAAACAGTGAGGGAATGGACAGCTCAAAACGAGCCTTGCCACTCCTGCTCAGAACAACACCCCTGGCTGTGTCCTGCTGAGGGTGAGTAAAAGCCATCATCTTTCTAAGGAAAGCATAGCCCGCTTGCTATAGGCTTGACCACGACCCTACCCTCCCTTCGGCCCAGATGCTCTGCAGGCCCCTGCTAGGTTTAAACCTCTGTTCTGAGCTCGCTCCAATCTCAACCTGCATAACCTCACAACCCCTGGGCTTCTAATAGCTCTGCCCCCCATGCCCCGATCCCCACCAAAACTTCATATCTGCAGCACTTGCTAAAACCAAAATCAGCCTGCTGCCCTCCCTGGGGGGGCCGGGGTGAGGGGATAGAAGAAACAGAATCTGTGGCAGGGGTCTTCTCTTGGGTAGAGATGTGCTCCTGGCCTGGCCCTCTGCCCTGGGAAGGGATCTGGGCCCTTAGGGAATTGCATTTTCTCCAGACTCTTTAGTCTTCTGCAAGTGACTTAGCCAAGGCCCCTTTGGCCCTCTCTCCCAGGTTTCTTCCCCGCAGGCTCTGAGGCCAAAGCCTTCCTCCAAGGTTGGAGAGTTGAGCGGCAGAAGTAGCTTGCTGGTGAGGAAGGTACTGCTATGACTTGAGTCTGTGGGCAGAGTGTACGTGCTTTGATCCGGGCAAAAGTGGCTCCTAGAAGAACAATGCAGGCATGCCCGTGCCAGGCCCGCCCCCCGGAGGTCCCACCCAGGTGCTGGGGTGTGCGTGCCAATGCCATGGGGCCCGTGTGGTGTAGCTTCTTTTGGGCTGAGGCCTGGATTTGCTGAGGTCAGGAGGGCAGTCTGGATGGCTCTGAGAGACGAGGGCTCCCTCCCCTGGAGTCCCCTCTCCGATCTCAGAGGGAAAAGACAAAGGAGGCGTGCTGCCAAGGTGCAGAATTTGCCTCAGGCAACTAAATTTATTAGCAAGAAAAAATTTTTGTCAGCCCAGTGCTGACCAACAAAGTACATCGTTAATAAAGGATAACAAATCTGTCACTTAATTCATAAAACATACCTCAAGCAGTTACAACTAAAAATAAAGTTGGATTTTTGTTTAATTTAAAAGCCTCAAAAATAACAAGCAATATGTTTTTAAACATGTAGTAGACACAATCGTCTATTATACAATATACACTGTACACAGTAGAGCTTGGGCCGGTCGGCGGGTGAGATGAAGGGGGGAGGGGAGGGGTTCAGGATGTGGAGGTGTTTTTATCTGAATCCAGATTCGAGTTGAAATGCTATGTCATTTAGAAAAGAGAATTGCTAGAGTGAGAAAAAGATTCATATGCTCATCATTGCCCCCCAAAACCCTAAACTGAAAGCAGGCATGGGGGAGGTGAGTGACAAGGACAGGAAGAGGGGAGCAGTTAAATAAAACTTCTTTAAAGCACACACAATACACAGTGTTCATCATCTGAAGTAGAGTATAAGGCAACGTTCTCCATAGAAAAAGAGGGGAGTCAGGGAGTCCGTGGGTAGCTTTACTTTTTAAATAGAAAGTTGGAATGTGCTGGAGGAGAGTGTGGCGGGGCTGGGGCATGTGGAGTGGAGGCGGATGCCACTGGTGCCCTGGGTGCAGGGCCCCGGGGCGTCCGCGGTGGCTGGTGGGGCCAGGGAGGTGCAGGAAAGGGGCATGGCACGATGCAACTCCGGCAGTGTTGGGGGGGCTCACTTTGCTCCTCGACGGAGTGAAATTCATGTTTTTCCTTTGGAAATAAGGGTTCCCACTCGTCCTGGTTTAGAACGTCTCATTGGGCACGGCCAGTGTCCACAGTCTGGGCAGGCCGGGAGCTCGTGGTGAGAGGGAAGGGCCAGGGCGGCACCCAAGGGTACAGAAGGAGGTGAGTACGGGGCATCAGAGCCCCTTCCTATGAGGACAGTCGCAGAACAGGAGGGAGGGGCTGAGGGCGGGCCCAGGGCAGCCAGGGCCTCCTTTTTCCTGGGGGCCCAGGCGGGACACAGACGGCAGACTGCATCTTCAGGGCCTCCCGCCTGAGCTGGCCTTACAAGTTCTTCGTGACCAGGTGGGTCTTGTAATGCTTGGTGAGGTGGTCGCTCCTCATGAAGCGCTTCTGACACTGGGCACACTCGAAGCGTTTGTCCCCTGGGAAGAGGAGATGCCCGTCACTTACAGAGCCCATGTGCAGACCCTGTCCCATCCCCGAAAGAGGAAGAGCACATGCGTGGTGAGGGGGCACCCTATAAAGCTGGTGGCGCCTGGTCATCATACTCTGCCCGCCTCCTGCTGACACCTTTGCTCCTGACGGCCTACTGCTCTGAACCCTTTGTCAGTTTTCCTTTCTCCTACCTGCCGCTGGACATCACCCCCAGTCTACTTTGTTCCTGTTCCTTGTCCCTTGCCCAAGACACTGTATTTGTGCCCCTGCACCTGGACTCTTCCCACGTAGGCTGTCGCCTGCTTTCTTCGCCTCTCTGTCCCTCTGACTCTAACCCTGCCTCAACGTCTTCCCGTCTCAGGAAAACCCCGTTCCTCCCTGACCCGCCAGCCTGAGAGCTTACTTGGCCCAAACCACCCCGACATGGGTGAGGTCAGCTGCTGTTCTGAGTATTTACTGTTCAGCATCAAGGGGCATGACCCGCCTCGCCACACTGGCCAGGAGCCTGAGCTTTGGGTCACGTGTCCCCATCCCCAGTCCCAGGACAGGGGTCTGTGTGCACACTGGGGGCATTCACTATAGCAACAGTTCTCAAAGCATGTGCTGTGGACCACTGGGGAGACCCAAGACAATTTAGGTGGTAGAGGGATGAATGTTTTTCATTTTTATAGTTTTGTGTTTATTTGCCAGTGCATTAAAACATATAACTATGACATCAAGCCTGTCATGTAAAAATAATAGTGGTTGGACATAAATGAGTAAAACTAGTGACATGATTTAAGCAAAATCATTCATTCAGTAAATAATGGTGGGAAAAGCAGTGTGGACTAGTGGTGAAGAGTATGGACTTGGGAGCCAGAGGGCCTGGGTTTAGCTGTGAGCCCTGGCGACCTCTCCATGCCTCAGTAAAATGGGCATAACCAGGGCTGGCCCTGTGACCTAGTGGTTAAGTTTGGTGCACTCTGCTTCGGCGGCCCGGGTTCAGTTCCCTGGTGTGGACCTACACCACTTGTCAGTGGTCATGCTGTGGTGATGACCCACATACAAAATAGAGGAAGACTGGCACAGATGTTAGCTCAGGGCAAATCTTCCTCAGAAAAAAAAAGGGCGTAACCAAAGTACCCTCCCCACAGAGTTGCTGTGAGGCCTGAATGAATTAACTGTAAAGTGCACACTACAGTGCCTGGCACACTATGCCAGCGCTTGTTAAATAAGTGCAGCTACGGCAGAAGTCACCAAGGCTGTGAAGGCAAGTGACATCACTTCGGGCGACACTGTGCTAAAAGGAATGGCACAAAAGAATTTCCTGGGTAGTCTTAGACCCCCAAGAAGACAGTCTGTGGCTCTTGCTCAGTGTGGCAGTGCCTTGGCAGGGCCAGGAATCTTGATGTCACTGAGGGCAATGGAGTGGGGAGAGGGGAGAGGCCAGGAGCAGCCCTGTGTGGGTATGGGTGTGCCAGGGCAGGGGTCGGGGGTGAGGGGCAGCCCTGTGGGTTGATGCGCCGCTGGGGAGGGGGGCAGACCTGTGTGGGTGCGGGCGTGCCGCTGGAGCTCGTCACTCCGTGTGAACCTCTTTCCACAGAAGAACCAGTTGCAGACAAAAGGCCGCTCGCCAGTGTGCAGGCGCACGTGGGCCCGCAGCAAGGACGTCTTACGGAAAGTCTTGCCGCAGTCGGGGATGTGGCACACGTGCTTCTTCTTGCCTTGCTCTCCAGACCTGGGCATTGGGTGGAGGGTGGGGTGGAAGGAATGGAAGAGGAGCGAGGGAGGAGATAGAAGATGGGGGCAGGACAGCATGGAGAACGCATGTGGGGTCAGGTCAGAGAGCACGGGAAAGGTGAGGAGGCCAGGTGGCATGGAGGCACCACCTCGTCCCCTCTCAGTCTATGTCCCAGGGAGGAGCTTGGGGAACAGGAGACCCCATGCTTGGGGTCTGGCCTCTCTCCTCAAATTACCTCTTGTCCCCATCCTTGCAGTTGGGACACGTGCAGGCCATGCGGCGCCGCTTCTCCCCGGGCTGGGCCTCTCCCGCCAGGGCCTGCTCCATCTGCAGCTGGATCTGGGTGGGGCTCAGCCCGCTGATGGTCAGGTTGTTCCCAGAAACATTCTGCACCGTCAGCTGCTGCTGCCCTGTGGGGAGGAGGAGGGCTCGGCTCAGGGTGAGGAAGCCTGAAAGGGCAGAGGAGGGAGCCTGACACTTTTCTTCCCTTCTGCACGTGGTAAGGATGATAGTCATAGCAGCCAAGACTTTCAAGAGCCTATCACATGCCAGATACCATTTTAGAGACTGTAAATGTACTCACTCATTCAACCTTCATAATCCTATGAAATAGGTACTATTATACCCCTTTAGTTGAAGAAACTGAGGCTCAATAACATATCAAGGTCACACAGCTAATAAGTGGTAGAACCCGGATCTGAACCCAGGCAGACGACTTCAGAGTCAACGCCCTGAACCACTATACCGCACAGGCTGAATTCCCTTTCAGACGCTGCCCACGTGACTTCAGCTGGGGACGGTCTGGTCTTGGAGTGTTTCTTCCAGAGCCTCCTCCAGCTTTAGGCCCTTGTGAGGGACCATCCCTGCTCTCAGGAAAGTCTCCAGGGGTTTGTGTTAATAAGAATGAGAAAGCAGTTCCATGGGCTTTGGAAACAATCCAGCCCTCTAGGACTCAAATGAAGCCACTGAAAGCAGGAGTGGCACTGACATCACACTGGTGTCCCTCAGTGGATTCCTCCTACACCGGTAAACCGAATGCACAAAGTACCATAAATTCATTTAACAACAAAGGGAGGAGTTTCCAAAAGCTCCCACTACCTTGAAAAGTGCCCTTCACCCAGCTAAAGAATGCAAGGAACTATTTTTCCTAGGTAGCTACACTTTTCTTTTCTTTTTTATAATTTGTGTGTGTGTGTATGAGGAAGACGGCCCTGAACTAACATCTGTGCCAATCTTCCTCCACTTTATGTGGGACGCCACCACAGTGTGGCTGGACCAGCGGTGCTAGGTCCACGCCCAGGATCTGAACCTGCGAACCCTGGGCTGCAGAAGCAGACTGCATGAACTTAACCACTACACCACCAGGCCAGCCCCTACAGTTTTCCTTTGATTATTCACAAGGCTGCTTTCACACCAAATATTGCCAAATATCACTGCCGGAGAGCAGCACAAGCCATTCCCACTGCCAAAGGCTCCTTCCTTTCCTCCCCATCTTAACTCAAGGCTTTCTCCTTCTAGAAGCCCTCCTTCAAGTTCCTTTACTGGGAACCTCCCTTGAACATCTGCCTTTGGTCTGGACCAAGCTAACATGTGTTTGTATGTTAGTTGGAGTTTTCCTGAGTACATCTTACTTACTCCATCCTATTCAAGTTCTTCAGCTGACAGGTGGGACCAACACGTGTCTAAACTATCTCACAGGGCTACTGTAAGGACCAAATGGACGTGCTTTTAAGCTTGAAGCGACGAGGCACACGTAGGGCAGTATCCTCACTGTTGTTACTGGGAACCCCAGGTTGGCCCCCAGCTCCCATCTGCGGGGCACACAGGCACGCAGCCCATGTCCCAGTCAGGGGCCTGTCCTCACCGCCAGTGTTGGTGATGGTAACGGGCACACCCTGGACCTGGACACCGTTGATGTTGATGGTCTGCATGGCCTGGGCCGCCGCCGCCAGCTGGGCTGCGTTCAGGCTGATGACGCTCCCGGCGGGGGCAATCTTTGGCAGGGGACGCTCTTTCCGGAGAATTGCAGCCGAGTGCTTTTTGCTGGTCCCGCTCAGATGGGGCGCACGGGATGCAGGGCTGCTACAAGTGGTGGTGGAGGCGGCCGCAGCTGTTGCTGGAGGGCTGTCCTGCACAAGGACTGTCTGTACCTCACCAGAAGGCGTACGGATGTAGACCTGGGAAGGGCCAGAGAGAAAGAGTCAGGGCCCCAGGAGAGACTGGGCTCCTGGCACCTTTCCATGCAGCATCAGCTCCCCATCCAAGCGAGAACTGGGAGCCCCTCTTTGTCCACCCAAGTCTTCTCCAACTGGCCCAAACCGACATTCATACACGGCTGACGTTCAACAAACGGATGATGGCAAATGCTGACTGTTGATTTGAAACGAAACATTTAATATACTTAGCATGGAAAGATATAATTGCCAAATCTCAGAACTGGAGAATTCAAAGGCAACTAAAAGATGACCTCACGAAAGATGCCCTGTGAGTGACTATCAAACAAATGAAAACCGCTCCGAGGAGGCACAATTAGTGAGAAGCAGTTCTTGTCCAACTCAGATTGGCAAGGATGGGAAATAAAATCTAATGCTCACTGTTGGTGAGACAGCGGGGAACAGGCGCTCACTCTCACGTTAGGAGCGGGAGTGGGAAGTGGTCTAGGCTGGCTGGAGGGAAATCTGGGTGTATCGAAAGCCTTAAAAATATGCTTGTTAGAGCCTGAGTGGGACGAGAAGGGCATTTGTGGGGAGTGGCAGGAGCAGCCCGGCAGGCACATCAGAGCCCCGGCAGGTGGAGGTGTCATGGGAGAGCTGAGATGGCCGTGGGAGGCTTGCTCCATACCGGGGATTGATCCAGACAGGAGACAGAATGAGAATGAGAGCGAGCTTTCTTACTGTCAGAGAAGGGAGTTACAAATATGGAAAGGGAGACAACTAGAATGAACCTTGTGGTGTCGGATGGGAATAAGAGGCATTGGTGAAAGCTCCTGGGGTTCAATAGAGATAGATACACAGATAGAGAAATATGGACAAAAACGTGCATGTATTTTTATGTATATGTGTATATATGTGTGTGCATGTTTATAGCTATGTGTTACGTATCCAGGAGCTCACCTAGCACCCAGGCCTGAGCTGCCAAGTCCCAGGTTCTACTCAAAGGACCCAGAGCTCCTTGGAGGAATAGCTGATTCCAGGACTGGGGGCAGGGAAAGTACAGGAGCTTGGAACACCTGCTGTATCAGAAAGTAAGGAAGTGCTCAAAGAATGGTGGGTACATATGAAAAGGACACAAGAGCCAGCTTGAAGGGCTCCCATTGGCCAAATATGGGACAACTTGAACATCAAAATAATATTATTAATGGATTATAACCCACTGAATAAAATAGGAATCTGAGTCCATACTGACATAAATAAACAAATAGAGGAGAAGAGAATGATAGAATTAAAAAACTGCTCTCAGGGACTGGCCCCGTGGCCGAGTGGTTAAGTTCGCCCACTCCACTGCAGGCGGCCCAGTGTTTCGTTGGTTCGAATCCTGGGCGCGGACATGGCACTGCTCATCAAAACCACACTGAGGCAGCGTCCCCCATGCCACAACTAGAAGGACCCACAACGAAGAATATACAACTATGTACCGGGGGGCTTTGGGGAGAAAAAGGAAAAAAATAAAATCTTTAAAAAACAAACAAACGGGCCGGCTCCGTGGCCGAGTGGTTAAGTTCGCGCGCTCCGCTGCGGCGGCCCAGGGTTCGGATCCTGGGCGCGGACATGGCACCGCTCGTCAGGCCACGTTGAGGCAGCGTCCCACATCCCACAACTAGAAGGACCTGCAACTAAGATATACAACTGTGTACGGGGGGGTTTGGGGAGATAAAGCAGGGGGGGAAAAAAAAAAGATTGGCAACAGTTGTTAGCCCAGGTGCCAATCTTTAGGAAAAAACAAAACAAAAACAAACAAACAAACAAAAAAAACTGCTATCATATCCTCCAATGAGAGGAACCAAGACTCCTAGAGAAATGGGTGACCCCCGGGCCAGGGTGGGAAAATACAAGCCCTGAAGAACTGACACATGCTGCGACGTGGATGAACCTGGGAAATATTATACTCAGGAAAGGAAGCCAGTTGCAAGAGATCACCTATTGTATGATTCCATTTACATGAAATGTGTAGGCAAATCCATAGAGATAGAAAATGGATTAGTGGTTTCCAGGGGGTGGGGGATGGGAAATGGGGCATGACTGCTAAAGGGTACAGGGTTTCTTTTTGGGGTGATGAAGATGTTCTAAAATGAGATAGTGGTGATGGCTGCACAACTCTGAATATACTAAAAACCACTGAGTTGAACCCTTTAAAAGGGTATGTGAATATCTCGATAAAGCTGATAAAAAAGAGAGTGTGTCATAGGGACACAGGAGCCAACTTGAAAGAGCTCCAAGTGGCCGAAGCGGGAACAATGTGAATAACACAGTACATAACATCGTGTTGAATTATAAGCCAAAGAATACAATAAACACTCCTGAGTCCCTGCTGATATAAATAAATGAATGAATAAAGACATAAATGGAGAAGAGACAAATCTTCCTCAGAGAAGAATTCCAAGTAATATTATGCAGATACTTTCCCTTCCAGGATGTACAGCTTAATTCTCACCTCCACTCCCATCCCTGAAGGTGGGAGACTAAGCGACTCACTTCCGAAAAACAGAGCAGAGGAAGAGAAAAGCAGCACTTACAATGAAGAAACCTGGCAAACACCACCTTGATTAAGCGATAAAGGTGACATCAGGACGTCCCCCTCATATGATGAGATGAGGGGGCATTTCGCCTCCATGGTTGTTTTTCCAAAAACCCATAACCCCAGATTTGGGGACGTCCTACAGGATACCTGACCAACGCCCCTCAAGACTGTCAAGATCATAAAAACAAAGACTGAGCAACGATCAGATCAGAGGGGTCTGGGGAGACATGCCCACTAAGTGCGACGTGGTACTGGACTGGGTCCTGGAACAGAAAGGGGACATTGATGGAAAAACTGGTGACATCCAAATCAGGTCTGGAGTTTAGTTAACAGTAATGAACCAATGTCAGGTCTTAGCTTTGACAGCTGTACCTGGTAATGTAAGGTGTTTAACTATCGGGGACACCAGGTGAGAGGTACATGGAAATTCTCTGTACCACCTTTGCAACCTTTCTGTAAGTATAAAAAGTCAGTTTAAAAACTATCATAGTAAAAGATACTAAAACAAGTGGGCAAAAGTCTGATGAGGAATGGGGTATTTACATAGTCTCGAAGTATCTCCCTACAAAATACTAATTCATTACAAAGAGGAAAAAAGTAACTTTAACGTGCAGAAATCTGCCCAATCTCACTCTAATCACCACCAGTAATGGGACAAAATGAAATCACGCACCCCCTTTTAGGATGCAGTGAAAACAGCATCACTTCTGTGATATTTCTGCAAAAGAAAACCCTGCACAACCTGCATCTAGTCATGAGGAAACATCACACAAACCTAAATTGAGGAACATTCTACAAAATAACTGGCCTGTAGCCTTCAAGTGTCAAGGTCATGAAAGTCAAGTAAAGCTTGAGGAGCTGTTCCAGATCAAAGGAGACAAAGGAGGCGTGACAACTCAATGAACGTGTCTGGTGCAACGTGATGCTGGATGAGATCCTTTTGCCACGAAGGAATTACTGGGGCAAGTGGTGGGACTTGAACGGGGTCTCTGCATTAGACGTTAGTGTGTTTCACTGCTGATTTCCCAGGTTTGGTGGTTGGATTGTTGTGTAGAATGTCCTCGTGGGTAAGAATTTCATACTTTCTATGAGGCCCTTGGAAGTGCTGAGATCATGGTGACAACTTATGCTTAAATGATTCCGGGGAAAAAAATTCTTTGTAAAAAAGAAAAATCCTGCTGGGATTCTGATTGGAATTATTTTCAATTCCCCGATTATTTAATAGGACTGTGTTTCTCAATTAAAAGCAAAGAAATCTCATGTCATCTCTTTAATAAATACAGAAATTTCATTTTCAGTTTTTTGGTATGTGCCCCTTTTGCGAATCATTGCTATTTTCTGTGTATCGGAAGTTTCTGTTACTAGAACATTTTTTGTTCATAATATAGAGCAGGAGTCAGCAAACTTTCTGTAAAGGGCAGAGAGTAAATATTTTAGGCTTTGTGGGCCATGAAGTCTCTGCCTTGTAGTGCAAAGGCAGCACAGATGGGTATGTCTGTGTTCCAATTAAACTTTTTTTATGAAAACAGATGAGTGGGCCAGATCTGACCTGAGGGCTATGGATTGACAATCTCTGATACAGAATATAACACATTTTAAAAAAAATGTACATATCCTTTGACCCACTTTTAGGAATTCATTTAGCTCTAAGATTGGAAACAGCCTAGATACACAGTTAACAGGGTATTAGCTGTATAACAGACAGCACCTCAGGATAACGGAATACTATGTCATCCTTAAAAGATAATACTATAGCTAAATCTGTCTGCATGTGTATGATTATTTCCTTAGGAAGACCTGGGTTTAAGCCCTGCCTCCGTCAACCTCAAGATACAGAGCCTCAGGGAAGGGAGGAGCGGCACTGTGAGGACAAGTGCGCCTGAGCCAGTACCTTCACCTTTGAGGTACGTCTGATAATGGAACCTCACAGATAGCGTAATAACTAAATTAAACAATTTATAGAAAATCACTTGGCAATACATAATATGCCAGAAGGGAGGGGGCATTCGAAGGCAGGCCTCAGATTTCCTCCTGCGTGACTTCCACGTCCACAGCTCAACCTCAAGGGCACTTCTCCACCCAGGAGATGGCCCAGCTTCCTACTGTCACTCACTGTGATGCCTGGGTTCCCTCTCTACAACCAGATTATAAATTCCTCAATGGCAGGAACTGTTTTTTTTAAAAAATATCCTTGTCCCCAATTTTAATTGTAGCCCCTGCCACACGTAAGACACAGGGAGTCAAGGCAGAAAATGGAAAAGAGTGTGGGGTTTGAAATTTGAGTTGAATCCTGGCTCTTGTCATCTATGCTCTAGGAGATTTGGATACTTTATAACTTCTCTGAGTTCCAGGCTCTCCATCTGCAAGATGGGCATAATCTCTGGCCTTTCGTAGGCATAAACGAAGAATACAACCTGCTCACAGAGCCAGATTCCAGAGTACGAGAACACCTCAATAAATGCCCAAAATAAGAACGTTCTCGTTGAAGTTAGCACCCCAGATGAACCTAGCCTAAACGTTCCTGCTATCAAGCTAGGCTGCTGCTTCCTGCTTTTTTCTTGTCATTAACAATGATCAGCATTTTGCTCATTAGTGTTCTTACTTTACATCAAATTCTATGGTTCTGACTGGAATTTTTTCATTCTTGCTACCGTTCTGAGTATGTAATTCTATAATAAAAGATAAACTTTATTATTAAAACATGTATATCTGCCCCGTACTCATCCCCCCAAAAGACTTGCATAAAGAAAAAGTGGACCAAAACATAGGTACACAGGTCTGTTTCATCTGATTTCTAGAGACAAGCTGTACGTGACCCTGTGAACTGAAGAGACTCCATCTGTCAGGCAGAAATAGCCACTCACTGCCCACCCCCAACAATCCTGACTCCCAACACTCAGATCAAATCGGAAGATGCATCAGCATCATCTTCGACAGCAAGCCGAGGGGTAAGGGAGCATTAGCTGTTTAGTGCTAAGGAGAGGGAGGCAGGCGCACAGGGTGTGCGTGGTACCTGAGTAGGTGTCGGCTCAGCTGCCTGGATCTGAAAGTTCTGGGAGGGCTTCTGGGGGACGGTGGGGAGGGTGGCAGATGCCGCCTGCACCACCCGCAGGGCCTGCTGGGGGATCTGCACCACCTGCTGCTGCTCAGCCTTGGGGGGCACCACCTGGACCTGCTGGACCACAGCTGGCTGGCCCCCTCCTGGGCTCTGAACGATGAGCAGGTTGTTTCCTGCCTGGATGATGTTGTCTGCGGTGGTCTCGATCAGCACGGTCTCCACCTGCTCAGCCACAGCCACGGGGGGCTGGCAGGCGGGAAGACTCTTCTTCCTGGCTTTCTTGTTAGTCTTAGACAGTGGGGTAGGAGGGCTCTCCGTGAGGAGCTGAGTGGGGGCCCCGGTGTCGCTGGTGTTCATGAGGTTGTTGACAGGCAGAGTGAGTGTCACATTGCCACCCCCACCTGTCAGCTTTACCACATTGGCCCCGCTCTGCACAGGGGTGGTGGTGGTACTCGACTTCTGGACGGGGGCTGGCTTGATGGGGACGGGCTTGTGACTGGATGGTGAGGGGGTGATGATGGCTTGGTTGGTGCCAGGGATGATCTGGATCTGGTTGGTGAGATTAGGCTGTACTTGGATGGTCTGGGAACTGCTCGCCTGAATCTGAGGGACCGCCTGGTACTGGATGTTGGCATTTGATCGGGTCCCTTTGTTGATCATGGTGGGATTCTGGATAGCGAACACCAGCTGCCCCCCAGGATAGGACGCACTCAGTTGTGACCCCTGAATCTGAAGTATGTTTCCTTTGGAGGACAAGATTCCAAAGCTATTCTTGCCGGGACTGAGAGGGAGCGGGGCAGGTTTGATAGGGACGAGTTTCCGCGGTGTGGGCTGCGGGGGAGCAGGAGGCGTCACAGCAGCTTCAACAGCTGGAGGACCAATTTTGCTACATGTTGCAGCAAGCAGGGCTAAGGGAGATGGCTGGGAATCCTGCAAAAAAGCAAGTAGAGAAAAGGAGTGAGACGCGAGGGCCTGCTGCCCGGCCGCCCTTTGCGATCCTCTCTTGGCAGCCTCTTCCGCACCTCTGGGGTGGGCAGGGCACCAGCATCCTCCCCCTGCAGTGGCTTCAGTCTCCCCTTCTCTGCTGGTTTCTCCATTGAGTAAGCAAGCGAAAGAGGGGAAATGTCTTTCTCAGAAAGGAACTTTCCAGAAGCACCCCGTGACCGGGTGAACTAACGGCGTCAGTTGACCACTTATTCCCCACTGGCCTTTTTTCTCATGGGGACATGGAATCACCCTCAGCTCCTCAATGGAGTTCCATTAGCTCACCACAGGGATTAAGGGATCCCTGACTCCTTAACTGAGGGAGGACTGGGGAGAAAGAGAAAGGGAGGGGCACCAGGAGGAACAAACCCTTTTCTAAGTTTTTTCTAGCATTTGGGACATGAGTTTACTGACTGGGGAGGGCTGCTCTTTTGAGGCTACAAGGAAAGAGCCTCTGGAGTGTGGGGACACAGCCTCTATTTTCCTTGTATGGTCAGTGGAGATTATGGAAGGGACCTTGAGTTTAATCCTGCTTTTCCCCCTGACCCAACTGTGGCACCTTAGGTAAGTGGCCATGGTTTCTTAGTTCAGAAAAAGTGGGCAACTGAACCTTCCCTGGTCTCTTATCCTAACGTATTTACAGTGAGCCCGGATAGAGTTTTCAGTAGGGGTTTAATGTTGGCTTCAGTGCGTCCTTCCAGGCTGAGGCAGCCCCCAACCCTCAGAGCCCACTGCCCACTCGCCTGGGTGGTGGAGGCGGCGGGCTGCAGGTAGTCACTGGGACTGACAGCGGCAGTGGCAGCCATGCTGGTCTGTGGATCTGCTGGAAGAAGAGAGACGGAATGATGCACAAGACGCCCGATAAGAATCTCAGCCCCCTGGCCTCAGACTGTCTTCCTGCCTCTCTTTCCTGCTGCTGCTCCAGGAGAGGTTAACGACCTTCCCCACACGTCCCCACTCAAGGTTAGCAACCTGCATCTTTTTTTTTGGTAGATGACCTTCTCTCCTCAGACCCAGCCATCTGAGGCTGTGAGGACAGCTGGTCCTGCCTCCACCAGACTGTCCCCTCCAGCCATCATAAAGTCTGGGAAAAAACGAAGATACCGAGACTATAGCAAGACCGGCTTCAGGAACTAAGCTGTGCCACCTAATGGAGCCTCTCTGCTGGGCGCGGCTGACTCTCCCAAGCTAGATCAGGACCCATATATGGTGGGTGGGGGACCCCCCCCCCCGGCTAATCCTCCAGCTCTGACTGAGGCTCCCTGCTGTCCAGATGTCCAGCCAGCCTGGGAGAGAAGCATCACTGGCCAGGATCGCTGACAAGGAGGACACACCCACTCTGTGGGAAAGTCTTGGGTGCCCTGTGCTCAGCCTTCCCCACAGAGGCACAGTGGTCCAGGTGTCCATCTGTAGCACAGGGGTAACTGCTGTAAGCGCATTCACACTTTCACGTAGGACAGCAGGTATGGCCCCATAGGTATCACCCAGACCAAGAGAGCTAATGAGTATAATGAGAAGAATGAGAATATACTAAATTCTATTTTTGTTTAAATGTGTATGTATTTCTATATATGAATATACCAGGAAAAAGTCTTTAAAAATGCTAATATGTTAAAAGCCATTATCCCTATGGTAGAATTTTGCTTCACTTAAAGAATACTTCTTGTTTTTCTGTACTTTCTCAGTTTCCCCACACATACTCTGTTGCATTTTAAAAGTACAGAATGGTGAGGAAGTGATGAAGGGAATCTCTACTCTGAACTTAAGTCTGACCTAAGAGAAGTACACCATAGTAAAACTGAAATCATGAGAATTACGAAGGGAAAGAACAGAGGCAGACTTGTATCCTAGACCTTTGCAAAGCAGATTTCAGGAAGTACAGAGACAGGAAGGACATTACTTCAGAGATGCGGAAAGGCAGACTGGCTCCAGCACTGAGCCCCTGTTGGGCATCTGGCGAGAAGAGAAGGGAGGTCAGCAGAAAGAGGGACCACTCGAACCATTCACATTTTGGCTGGCCTGTGGCCCTTCTCTTTGGGAGAATGAATGATTCTTAAATGGGAAAAGGTGAGGGGGAACTGAAGCCCAGGACAGGTGATGGGCTGGCAAGGCACACGGATGCCTTAAGTGGTTTCCAAGCCTTAGGGCCACAGCAGCTGCACTCCAGAGAAGGGAGGCAGGGACTCTGCAGGCACACTAGCCAACCATAGGGAGCCAAAGGGCAGCTCTGGGCAAAATCCTATAGGTAGATCCTGAAACATTAGACACTGAGCTCTGGCAAAACTGTAGAACAAATGAGGAAAGAGTACTATACTACGATGCCGAGCTGAGGAGGCAGTGATCACAAGGGATAAGCGTGGGGTTGCAAAAAAACAAGGCATGCTGAGCACATCTGTTTCTTTTTTATGGGGCTTTGGGTAAAGACATCAGGAGAATGGTATATACTGTGCATTTTATTCTGACAAGGCGTCTGACTGAAATTTTCATAATATTCTTATGAACAAACAGGGAAAAAACTGCAGGCAGGATGACAGTGTTGTTTGGGGCTAAGCTGACCAGGCCTCCCGGTCAATGGTGAGATACACGCCATCCTGAGGAGGTGGCTGGTGCAGGGCAACCCAGGTGTCTCAAACTAGGCTGGGTTCCAGGACCAGGTCTGCAGGCTTCTTGGAGGCTCATGCTTTCTCTACCAGAATTTTTTTTTGTTTTTTTGAGGAAGATCAGCCCTGAGCTAACATCTGCTGCCAACCCTCCTCTTTTTGCTGAGGAAGACTGGCCCTGAGCTAACATCCATGCCCATCTTCCTCCACTTTATATGTGGGATGCCTACTACAGCATGGCTTGCCAAGTGGTGCCATGTCTGCACCTGGGATCCGAACCGGCGAACCCTGGGCCGCCAAGGCAGAGCGTGAGCACTTAACTGCTATGCCACCGGGCCAGCCCTCTACCAGAATTTTTATTCTCATATTTTCATTGTGAAGATCATTTTTTTAAAACGAACATATATTATAGATCACCGGGTGACTGCTGCTTAACTAAGATTGCACGTTTCTGGGCCTGTGTGTGTGTTTATGACTGTACTGGTGCCAAGTGGCACCACTCTAACTGTGTGGGCTAATTAATTCTGCATATTTAATTCATGATACATTTGTGCAAAGTGAGAGATGCCGGCTCTTCAGAAGTGTGGGAGGACTGTGTCGCTTGGCACTAGACACTGCACGGTGGGCGTGCAGAACTCAAGGAGCCCAGGATGTCAAGTCTATGCTGTGCTTTCACTGACAGCAGCGATTCGGGTTCAATCAAACATTGTCCTCCCAGAATGTTGTTGTTGATTTGAACTTCACTGGCTTTTTTGTAGTTATTTAAGTTTATAGGCCCTAGATTAATGAGTTGATAAACAGATTTATGTGCGTACATAATTAAGTAAAGTTGTAGTGTTATAATGAAAATCTAAGTTGACTCAAAAACATTTTCCCTCCAGAGCAGTGGTGTTCAAACTATTCAGACCATGAACCACAGTTATAAAAACAATTTACATCAAGACCCAGTGTGCACACGCGCGCCCACACACGCTTCCCTGCCTGTGCTCATGCAAGAACTTTCCTGAAATGAAATGTGCCCTTGCTCCATGTGATGCACTTGATATTTTTCTACTCTATTTCATTTTTTTAAATGCGGTTTTGATTCACTAAATTGGTTTTGTGCCCTAGAGGCTGGAAAACGCAGCTTCAGAGTAGTCTGTCCACCACTCAAGTTTGGGAAACTGCAAAGACCTAGAGGGCAAGTTAAATTTGCAGATGTCACAAAACCAAGGATTGTAAACATGAGTGTCTGTATTAGGGCTCAGAGGGAGCTTAAAAAACTGCCATGTGCAGTGCCTGAAAGCATGAGGCTCCAGACCTAATG